TAAGCTACTTCTTCAGAGAACAAAAAACCAAACTAACGTTAATCCAAGTTCAAATAGTACGACGGAACAACACGAATCTTCTCATTATTTTTAACAGGAATCGAATTGAAAATGATACTTTAGTTTTGTTCACAGTAATATCACTCGTTTATTATTGTTACTCAGTGTAGTTTCCAATTAACAATGTACATTGTGGTTATTTTATTTTGTTTAGTATTCTTAAGCAAAAACAAATAATCATAACATTAATTAGTAGAATATAAATTCAGATATCGACTCTTTTCTCTCCCAGATATGTTGGATTTATTTATTCCATAGCCTTTTTTCTCTCATCTAATTTAAAGTTGGTCAATAGTTGGTTTTGTAAGTAGACTTAAAGTATACATCTACGATAGATATTGTAATTCAATATTGTTAAAGCTTTGTATCTGTCAATAATAAATCCATTATTTGAATGCTCTGTAAACATTACATCGTTACTGTCTCTTCATATGATAAAAATATTGAGAAATCGTTATAAACGAAGAGTAACCGTTTATTTTTTGTTAATTTTAATGAAAAGAAGAAATTGTCGTTTATGATTAAATTTATATACAGAGGATTTTCTATACAGGAGTTCCAATGTGAACGTCAACAGTGGAGTACAGGTACATTTAACTGATGAGGTCTAAACAGGAGGTGGTGCGTATTCTAGCTTTTACTGCTAGTTACAATCCAAAACTTGTAAAAAAGGACATAATATTGTTTATTTGTACTCAGTTCTCGTTATCGATCGGGTTTGAATAATCTTTAAAACACTTTTTCACAAATCCTTAACTTACCAAATGTTCTTCAATGTAGTAAAATTTACAATGTAACGAGAAAAAATGCTTTACAACAGTTGTTTAGCATTTAAGACCCATCCTTGACCTGATACATTCGGCTATGTGTCATCAGATTGTTCGAAATGTATTGCTCTAATACATCACATAGTTCTGATAATCTTCGTCATCTTATTACACTATCGAAATTCATTTCAATCCATTATTTTACATAAATGTAATGTCTACACATTTCGATAGACCTAAATATTACATTTTCAGTGGTGGTCTAAACAAGATTAGTTTGTAATTAAAACTATGAGAATTATATATACTTGGAGGGTTTTATTTGAGTAAAAAAAAAGGATTTATTTTGTTTTCGACTCAAAATAAGTTAATGTCTTTGGATTTGTGCATATTCAGATTGATTGTGAGATGGTAATTTTTTTTATATCCAAGATAATATCATCACTATGATCAGATCGTGTAGATCTAAGTTAGAAACAAATATAAAATTCATATTATTTTAATTAAGATAATAAAAAACAATGTAGTTTATTGTGTGTGTGTTTCTTTGTTTGTTTACGTCTTTGTGTTAGCAACATTCATCTATATGAGATTATATTGCAACGTTCCGTGTTTTTTTTGATTGACTAACTGTACAGGGGGGAAACGAATATTATTGTCTGTAAATCTAATTAATATGATTTGTATCTCATGTATTTTCATTCTTCTCTAAAATAATCCATATCAATATTGAAGAGCTCGTAATTTACAAACTTTAGTCAAATATATACACAATGAAAATCATAATTTATTTCTGTTAGCTAATACAATTCATAATTTGTTGATCAGAAGGGGTTTTATGGAGAATTTTGTATTTTCATAGTTGAAATCATGAGTGTATTGAAGCTAGTCCACTATGGAAAACCTGGAAGCACTGCACGGCCGTTTTGTCCTATTGTGGAACTCCTCAACAGTGCGCATCCGCGATCCCGCACTCGCGAGATTCAAACCCGGGACCTACCAGGCTCAGTGGTCTATCGGTTAAGTGCTCTGACGCGAGACTGGTAGGTCCTGGGTTCGAATCTCGCGTGGCGGGATCGTGGATGCGTACTGTCGAGGAGTCGCATAATAGGACGAAACGGTCGTCTAGTGCTTCCAGGTTTTCCATGGTGGTCTAGCTTCAATTGACTCATGATTTCAACTATGAAAATTCATAATTTGTATTTTTAATTTAATGCTTTTTTCATAATTGAACATGAATGGTGCAATTGGGATTTCGCTTGTTAATTTCATTCTATGGAAATATTTGTATATATGTATCCATGTGTGTATGATATAATTTATAATTTCATATCGTTCTACTAATCTCATCAACCTTTTTTTTATAAAAAAAATGATCGAAAATAACAGGACCAGTAATGAAAACATCTACTCATGTTTAATATATTTTAGTGGGGAATGATTTTTTTTGTTTCTAATTAACAAACTGTTTGCTTTTCCTAGAGATTTTTTTAATATTTGTGCTTTTGATTTAAAGTCTAACTGTTGTGATGAACGGTGTCCGAAATCTGATATTGATAAATGGTGGGCTACATGCTAACCTCCTAACTAACTACTTGAGCGAGAAAGTGTATTTCTCTATGGAATAAAATGAACAGATATTCAGTTATATATACATACCACTCTATCCTTAGGAATTTGACCCATTTATTAGCAAATCAAATGCACTTGTCCTTCAGGTCACTTTGGGTTGCCATCGACTGACCTTCTCACTAGGCAACTTCTAATTGGCTTTCCATATAACTAACTTCATCACAAAGTGTTGATATTATATAAAAAGAACTAGTGAAAATCTAAGAATACTTGAGCTTGATACCCTATTTGAGGTCATCTATGTGCACTGTTGAAGTATTTCGTACTACAAAAACTTTAGATTCAAGAATTATCAGTGACTAGCAGATAGAAATTGCAGATTGATGAACGTTGTAAAATATGACCTAATTCAATTCTAATTTTGTGATTTAAGTAATGTATCAAATATCACGATGTATGTACGTTCCTAATTTCTTCTTGTACAAACTCACGGTTGTGTACCAAATAAGCAAGTTACAAGATTTAAGACATAAATGTCTTTCATCCGTCTTTCACTTTTTTTTCATTTCACCATTTACAATATCTTTATTAGCAAATTAATGTAATATAGCATGTACTGAAAGTAGTCATCCAAGTATTTGATGTATCTTTTTAACGAGATTGATAATTCAAAGGCAAGTGTAATAATCAATTCAAGTGATGTAATAAAAATAATCAACACTTAATATCTGAAATTCAAATAAAAACGAGCACATCCCAAGCATACCTGATTCTAAGGAATTATTGTTTATTTCCAAGCTATATTATCGTTTCATTATAAAATAGCTGTAGAGAAAAGAAGATTATTTGGCTGATAAATATCTAAAACAATTATATGAACGAAGAATATTCTTTTCAATAATTTCTCATCAGGTTCTACAATTATAAATTAATAATCCATAAAAGAAGATTGGCCAAGTTTAAGGCGGAGTACATCAATTTAAGAAACTGTAATATGTGAATCAAGGATTGTTTGTCATATAAAATAAGATCGAATCGTTAATGTTTTTGGCAGATGTTCTAGGAATTTGTATACTCGGGCTCGTGAACACCTTCCAGTGTGGTTAAGCAAAGGTGTAGTCAGAACGGTTAACAGCTCTGTTTTAGCCCATTTAGTTCAGACGGGACATAGAGCCGACATTGAGCAATCTTTCACAGTAATATATCGTGTAAATAGCAGTCTACCTAATTCTGTCAGACAGAGAATCCTGCAGACGGCTGAGGCAATTGCTATTCGGATCAAAAAGCCAGAGCTCTGCATCCAAAAGAAATATGTACAGCCACTCCTTTTACCCTGGCCAACTTCAGGGTCAACTTGTTAATAATCAATTTTGTAATAAGGTGACATTAATTTGATTAATGTTCATTTCTATATCTTAGTCTTATCTACACATCTTATCAGTCATTATTCTTATTCTTATTATTATCTTTATTATTATTATCACACCTGCTAACCTTTTATAGAAACTTATTTATCATCCACCCCCTATCTACTATATCTGACCTAATTTATATAATTCTACATATTACGTAATTTCCGATTTGTAATCCCATTGTTCTATCTCTCACCCCCATGTCAACTATATATATTCTGATAATTTATCGTACGATTTTAATTCACCTATAAACTGATTCAAGTTAACACTTCATATTAGTCATCCCAAAAACATTAACGATTCGATCTTATTTTATATGACAAACAATCCTTGATTCACATATTACAGTTTCTTAAATTGATGTACTCCGCCTTAAACTTGGCCAATCTTCTTTTATGGATTATTAATTTATAATTGTAGAACCTGATGAGAAATTATTGAAAAGAATATTCTTCGTTCATATAATTGTTTTAATATGATGGGAATTTTTCAGTGATAAATATCTTCATATATTTCTGAAAGCTAAAATTTGTAGATTTTAAGTTTTTTTTAAAAAATAACTGCAATGAAATTCTAGAATACAAACTTATTCATTTAAGCAAAGATGAATGGTGGCTAGCTATGGAATTCAGGACGCTCGTTTCATCCTACTTGGAACTCGTCAGCTGGATGTACCTGTATCTCAGAGTTGATATTCACTCTAGGACTCAAACCCAGTACCGTTCGCTTATAATACTTGTGACTTAAGGCAATTTCGAGGCGATCCGCACAGAACGCACATATGTCAATAAGAGACTGATTAATCACAGTTCTAAACATCAATGGGAACATTCAAATAAACAATATAAAATTAATTATTCATTCAATTTTTTTGTTGATAAGTACAACCTCCATTGCTTGTTACTTTAAAATACTATCCTGCTTCAAATGATTATCATTGTATAAATTCCTGATCAAGATCATTCTAATCAATGAAGAGTGTATTGAGACAATTGACTATCACCAAGCCATCGTACATAACTATTCAGTATGTTAGTAACGATAATAGTAAAGAAACCATTGACAAAATATCAAGATTTTTTTCCTCATACACTTGTTATCATTCCTTATTTATCGTGTTACTCTATCGAATGCTTTCAATTCGTTCGTTCTTTCTTTTTTTTTTAAAAAAAAAACACAATTCCAGATAAGTAACATTTCATTAACTCCTCAAAGAATCATGGAACGTAACACTAATCTTCATAAGATTTTGACAATATTAGCTTTAATTATTTTGGTGATCAGTTTTATTGGATTAATAATTATCATTGTTTTGTATATTCTAAGTAGTAACATTCCAGATGTGGTAAGTATTGTTGTTTTAATACTGTAAAATACTTTTTGCAGAATTTTTTATTGAATGTTTTATAAATTCATTTCATTCGTATTATTACGGTTTTGTATTTCTACAACTCAGTAAATAGTAATTGTGTGAAGTCAGTTCACTATGCGGGTATCAGTCAGTTATACTTAACTTGTATCCCTAGCACAAGGGATATAAGTTAAGTATAACGTCACCTATGGCGAAGACGAGATATCCGTCTATCACTTAAGGGACGAGTAAACTGCACAGCAGTTCGCTCTGTTCTACTTTACGGCTGTGAAACATGGCCATTAAGAGTAGAAGATACTCGTAGGTTACTAGTATTTGATCACAGATGCCTTAGAAATATTGCTCGCATCTGCTAGGATGACAGGGTAAATAATAGTGAGGTTAGACGCAGGGTATTAGGGAATGTTGGTAAATCAGTTGATGAGGTGATGAATCTTCATCGACTGAGATGGTTGGGCCATGTGTTACGTATGCTTGAACACCGATTACCACGACACGCTATGCTGACTAGTATTGGGGATGGTTGGAAGAAAGTTAGGGGCGGCCAAACCAAAACGTGGCATCAGAGCTTGAAGTCACTAACTTCTAGTCTGAGCCATGTCAGCAGATGCAGACTACCTGGTTGGGGTCCGTGTGACTATCGTAACCAATGGTTTGAGACTCTGAGTGACATGGCTCAGAATCTATCACAATGGCGTAGGTGTATACACTTTTATCTTCCCTTAAACCTTGAGATTAAAATTGCTTCATAACTTTTTTCCTTCAATACTATATCCTTATATACAACATTTCTTTATATACTACCACCACTAAATTAATTACTACTATGAATCCGGTGTTCATCTTGTTGTGCTAACGAGGTATGGCAACTTGGACCGATGTATATATGTGCCTGGTCCTACGTTGTAGCTGACTGACTGACTGATCCCTAGCATAAGATTCCTGAAGTCTAATTTGCATACGATATTATCATAACAGAACGAAAATAACAAATATGAATAACAAAGAAATTGAGATAATGCAAAAATATTGTTTAAGATGAGAAGGAATTAAGTAGTATGGATCAAGGAATACTGTTGCTCAGAATCTAGAGAAAGAAAAGAAGTGCATTCGTGTTTTTGTGTTTGATTCTCAGCTACGTCACCTAACGTCTACAATCGCTTATCGTGGTTATCACGGGGACCTCAACGAGATGTTCTGTTATCGAAATCGAAATAAACGGAACAAGGACTTCAAACCCTCTGATAAAATGGCTCATTATATTTTCTATAAGGTTGAATTATCTTATCGATAGTGTTTTCTCTCCATTCATTCTATCATTATTCATCTTTTTAAGCAAATATGGATAGTGGTTAACAGTGTATGCACATATGCCAAGTAGAGACTGATCAATTGCAGTTCAAAATAACAATGGGAAGATACAAGTAAACAACAACAAGTGAATATAACTTCATCCCATTGCACAAGCAAGTGGCTATCAGGACTCAGTAGCTGAATGGATAACGCGATGGTGTTTGAAGCTAAATGCTTCAGGGTTCGAGTCCCAGAGTGAACATCAACACTAAGATGCAGGTACATCCAACTGACGAGTCCCAAATAGGACGAAACGCGAGTCCTGGATTCCACTGCTATCCACTATCCATATTTGCCTATAAAGCTTGTGACGTCAAGCAATATAGAAGCAGTCCGCATAGGATGTATATATGCCAACAAGAGACTGATCAATTGCAGTCCAAAATAACAATGTGAAGATACAAGTAAACAACATCAAATGAATATTATTCATCTTTGTTTATATAATATTCTGTTTATTATCTTATAGTATTCAGTAGTGATTGATGCAGGATCAACTTCTTCAAAAATTCATTTATATAAATGGATCGATGAACCATTTCGATCAAATGGAAAAGTTGATGAAGTGACTAGTGAAAAACTTTGTAAGTGATTTATTCTATCATAGTCGAAATTTAATTTATTTAACCTTTTGAAAAAAAGGATACAAAACTGTTTATTTTCACTGATAATCATTTGACTAATTGTTAGAAATCAGACTAGACGGTTGGTAAATGTTTTTATGACAACAGTTGTGCTTGCCTAAATTGATGGATTTCATTGTATTTTTGGTGGTTGAAGACTTTACTCTTGTAGACTTCATCATATTTTACAAATTATATATGCAAAATTTTAGTGATCCTTCATTTGACTCCAATTAGACCGTATGATTATGTTATCGAAATATACATCCTAGCTACCGTCGTATATAAATATCGACTTGTATCGCATTAGTAAATAACTGAATTAAATAAGTTAAATACAAGAATAAAGTTTGAATACGCATATTTCGTACACTCAATGATCTAGGAAAGGAAGCGGAGAAAGCGAAGCGAAAAAACCGATGCGGTGAAGACGAGTAAACCAACTTAATTCAATCAAGCGTGATTCGATATTAATATTCTGACAAAAATAAATTACAGACAAACGATAAACAAGATAAGCAAGTAACATACAAACTCTTACTTCAAAACAGTTAAGGACGATAAGCGAATAACGGATAGTAAAAATGTGGCTTGGGAAGAATGAATAAATTGGTCTGTCCAGAAGCCGGGATACCCTTAGTGGGCTTTACATAGTGCTAGCCACTAGAAAATATAAACAGCATATTACTAGTACTTTGTAAAATAAATCTTTTTATGACTATTATCTATTGTGAAGACTTATTACCCCAATCTGAAATACTGTAACCTAACAAAAAAAGATGTTTAATGTAGCACACTACATATAGAGACTCTGAATGGTTAATAAACTTATCTAAATTCATTATGACTTATTGTTATTAAAAACTTAACGAACTGTTTACTGTACAAATATTCATTCCAATATCTGTATAACGTTAAGTGTGCAAGAGTCTTGATTTGCTCGTACACATTTAGTAACCCTGTTTCATATTCCTTTAGTACTGTAATGATTAACCGGGAATTTCTTTTCAATTTAATGTCATTGATATAGTACCATCACTGTTGGTCTGTCAGTTCAATGAAACATGTATTACACTTAGTAAAAAAAAAACAACTTGTTTCTGTCAAGTTTTCCACTTCAACATAGCTTACGACTATCATTATAAAAGCACTCTCAAGATAATCTTTAAAAATTACTATGCTTCATCGGAACAGCTTATAATCTTGGTAATTGTTTAATTATTAGTAATTACCTAAAGTTTAAACTGAAGCCATCATCACTATATTTAATTTCCCTTTTGAAAATACACTATCGAAGATTATAGAATGTAAAGAAATGATAAAACTATCTGTGGTTTAGTGTGCATCATTGTTTTTTTTTCTTTCATCGATTAATTGTTAACCTAATGACCTTGAAAAGATGATTATGTGAACATAAACTTATTCAATTTAAAATACGTAAGCGTCATTTATTAGAAAACTTTATTTTCAATGTATCTTCGCTTCAAGTAAATCCTAGTCATTGACACGAAACTATCGATTATTCGGTCATTTAAGTGTTGATTAGGATATGGATTCATTTTTCGTCCCTTGAAGTTGCGTTTTCTTTAGTACAAACTTCAGAGATTTGTTCTGGTGATGTTTTTTTTAAAAGGAAGATGCAAGCTTTATAATTTAATCACTCATCTAAGAGAACGTATTTGCAGTAAAATCATCCACTGATCATGAATTTTCAGCAGAACTCCAGGAGTTACATCTTGAAGCTAGTCACCAGTGGAGTCCAATCCGTGTCGAATATCAGACAGTTATCCACTTCAGACAATGAATGAAAAGTTGAGCGAGACCATAGATTCATTGTAATTAGACGTTAACACCGTTGAATGCCGACTTAGTGGTCTAGAAGTTAAGAATTCGCTCATTAGACGGAAGGTCCTGAATTCTTTTTCCATCATGCGCGATCATGGGTCTGCACTACTTAAGAGTCCCATACCAGGAAGAAATGGCCGTCCAGTGCTTTAAGGTTTTCCATGGCGGTCTAGCTTAGATCGGCTCATGATTTCAACTGTGAAAATACTACAACCTCCACAAATCCTCACACTGATGTCTTAGAACTGATCTTTGTGATTTAATAAACTCTCTGAAAGATTTAATTTATCGATGAACTAACCAAAAAATAGTAATATTATGTTGAAATTCGCCAATTCATTAAAAACTTTTCAATGGGAGTTTTCTAAAGATTATGCGACTAAATAACAAGAGATGTTATCAAACACAAATTCGAACAGAATCTAATGTTTATCTCATTGTAAGTTTTTTTACTTTAATATTTCATTCGTAAAATTTGAGGTTTTTCAAACCGAATAACGTCTAACTTGGTTACTTGTATTTATAATTGCTTACTTCGTTTTGAAAATGAATTTCCACACTCATCTTTTTTCATAACGCCATTTCGTTTCATATAAGGAATATTTTATTTAAAATTAATTAGTTCACCAACTGACCCTGAGTATAAATATTCCACTAAAACTTGTGATTAATAGTAGGGTAACAAAGCAAACTCACTGAATTCATGACATTTCCCAATCATCTTCCAGTGGCATTGACGAGTAACTGTCTCACACCTGACATGTCGTTGAAATTGGGTTGTTCAGTATGGTACACTGATTAAAATTACAACTGCACACTGTCTGTTACTAACATCAATGATTCGAAAGTTATTCACTGTCAGAGTGATCTGAAGGTCATATGTTCAGTCCTTGATGAGATAGTCGATGAGCACTGTAAACTAGGTATGATGGAATAGTTCTCTACTGTCCACTAGTTTTCAGTGGTTATTTAATTAAAGTCAGTCCATGATATAAACTAAGGTCAAATGTTTAATTAATTACTCCAAAAATACTGAACAGTAAGTTGAAAAATCTAAAATTGAAAATTAAGACTTACCAATCTAAATACTTTACTTTTATAACCACACATTGTTCCCTTTATCATGTTGAAAAGCGCAAGAACAAAGATTTGAGCGAAATAGCATGGATTCGTTTTATTTCGTTTGGTTCTCATCAGCTGCTTACAACCTGTGATATTTAAAGACCATAATTACAGAATAGGTTTAAATTGCTTCTAGGAAAGAGTTTATTTGAAAGTTACTTTGAAGACATATCAGTGTAGTATTGCAAAGTTGTATGCAATATTCAATAGATTGAATAAAATATTGTAAATATGTATCTTATATAGAAGAACATTCTATCACATCGATAGTGACAAAGATCCAAAGTGCTAGAAACAAATGGTTACGTAATGAGTAAACGCTGATAATAAGTACGAATAAAATAAGTAAATTTTAGCCATTTAAAATAAAATTACTAATCTAGAAAACTTTTGTGTCATCAAAGACAGAAAGATTAACAACTGTCTACTTTGGAACAAATAAATCAGGTCTCTGACATCTGATAGTGATAGCTTCATCAAATTTTGGAATGCTGGAGCTTACAAGGTATCAAACTGATGTCCTGTATCCAAGACATGTTTACTAACCGCATTAATTGAGCAATGAACAAGGTGAACCACTGTTTTCAACAACTTCATAATCAGGCTGTACAATTTTCAAGTCGATAATCATTGTATTATAACTGTCAAAATAAAGCATATTAGTGAATTTGACAATAACATGTGTTAAGAATGAATGGTGAGCTTTTGCATTTGATACAGAGTGAATACTTTAAAATCGTATCGTTTGTAAATTGGAAAGGTCATTTACTAAAGGTTAGAATGATTCATTGTAAGGTGTGAAGTTACAACCGATGTAATGACAATAAAACAAACCATGTGAATGAAATGTATGGTAGAAGAAATTTAGTCTTATTAGCGGGGATAATAATAATGGATTCATTTGAATTTAATATGTAGAGTTGTTGTCAGGGCGATTGCCTCGAGAGATTCATGTGTATTGACAAAAATGACCATGTAAACTAAAAATGATACAAGGTAGATACAAACATTAAGGGAATCAAGGGTAAGGTATTACAACTCAGGTTTAAATATTTGGTGGCCCAATCGTGGTACAAGATAAATATTAAGCTTGAACAAACATCTTATAGATACATAAATCAGGTCTTTTAGAGTGGATCCTGATGGCTTTTGTTATGTAGAGGAGTTGTGTACCAATTGGCTTTATAATAATGACTTTTATTATTATTGCCATTGTTATTATTATCACCGCTAATAAGACTAAATTTCTTCTACCATACATTTCATTCACATGGTTTGTTTTATTGTCATTACATCGGTTGTAACTTCACACCTTACAATGAATCATTCTAACCTTTAGTAAATGACCTTTCCAATTTACAAACGATACGATTTTAAAGTATTCACTCTGTATCAAATGCAAAAGCTCACCATTCATTCTTAACACATGATATTGTCAAATTCACTAATATGCTTTATTTTGACAGTTATAATACAATGATTATCGACTTGAAAATTGTACAGCCTGATTATGATGTTGTTAAAAACAGTGGTTCACCTTAAATTCATTTAGTATTGCTTGTTTGAATCTTCTCATTGATGTGTTAGGACTGCAACTGGTCAGTCTCTAATTGGCATATGTGCATACTGTGCGTATTGCCTCGATATAGCCTCAATTCACAAGCATGATCCATCTTTGCTTATCATGCTTGTAAATCAAGGCTATATCGAGGCAATACGCACAGTATGCACATATGCCAATTAGAGACTGACCAGTTGCATTCCTAACACATCGATGGGAAGATCCAAACAAACAATGCTAAGTAAATTTCAACTTCACCCCATTGCACAAGCGAGTGGCTATCAGGACTCAGTGGCCGAGTACATAACGCGATGGCGTTTGAAGCGAGGGTACTGGGTTCGAGTCCCAGAGTGAACATCAACTCTGAGATGCAGGTATATCCAGCTGAAGAGTCCCAAATAGGACGAAACACGCGTCCTGGATTCCACTGCTATCCACTATCCATCTCTGCTTAACAGTGGTTCACCTTGTTTTTAAGATCATAAATGTTTACTATCATTGAGTAATCTCATTATTGATCAGAGGGGGTTTTGTGGAGAATTTAGTATTTTCACAGTTGAAATCATGAGTCAATTGAAGCTAGACCACCATCGAAAACCTGGAAGCACTGGACGGCCGTTTCGTCCTATTATGGGACTCCTCAGCAGTGCGCATCCACGAACCCGCTCTCGCGAGCGACATTCGAACCCAGGACCTACCAGTCTCGAGCCGAAGCCCTTAACCGATAGACCACTGAGCTGGCATCCAACGGTGTTAATGTCTAACTTCAACCAATCCACGATATTGAGCGACCGTTCACCAATTGTCTTCAGTGAGATGATATCTCTACAACAGACCTGGTAGAACTCCACTGGCCACTGCTTCCCCACTAGTGACTGACTTCAAGAGATATTTCCTTGAGTTCTAGTGGGAAGCAGTGGCCAGTGGAGTTCTACCAGGTCTGTTGTAGAGATATCATCTCACTGAAGACAATTGGTGAACGGTCGCTCAATATCGTGGATTGGTTGAAGTTAGACATTAACACCGTTGGATGCCAGCTCAGTGGTCTATCGGTTAAGGGCTTCGGCTCGAGACTGGTAGGTCCTGGGTTCGAATGTCGCTCGCGAGAGCGGGTTCGTGGATGCGCACTGCTGAGGAGTCCCATAATAGGACGAAACGGCCGTCCAGTGCTTCCAGGTTTTCGATGGTGGTCTAGCTTCAATTGACTCATAATCTCATTATTCTCAATTTTCCATAATCTCATTAGTAGTTTTACAAGCAACGTTAAATTACATTTAATTATGTAGATAAACATAACTTTTTTAGAATTCAGAAATGCTTGTTATTTTTGGTGGGAGGTCTGTTCAAAGTTTTAGGCCACCCATTTCTTAACTGTGCAAATATTGCAATAAACTTTCATGTATTAGATTTGTCACTCTAGGGTTGCGGCAATTGTTGAATTTTATTGAAATTCACAATTTATTCACAATGTAAGTTAGATAAATATTGGAAACCTGGAAGCACTGCTGTTTAGTTCTAGTGTGGAACTCTTCAGCAATGCACATCCACGACCCCGCAACCGGTAGTCGGACCGAGGACTTTTGATTTAGCATGAGAATGCCTAATATCTAGACCACTGAGCTGAGATCTAATTGCATACAGGTCTAAGTACAATCGATCCGTCATATTGCGCGGCCATCTCCCTTCGCCTTTGGTGAGTAACTGTCCCACACTTGACAGGGTTGAACTTTACTGGTCATTGCTTCTCACTAGATTTTTTCGAGTTGAATAATTATGAATATTAACTGTATATACACAAATAGTCTTATGAAAAATCAACAACATATCATTATGCTAAACACTGGAAATTTCAAGCCAAATTTCTGAACTTGACATATTTTCTTCCTCCTTTTCCCTTTTTAAAAAAAGGAATGAATATAATGAAATTGATGCATTTATTATTTTATGAGTGAGAAATGTAGTTATTGCAACTAAACGGATAGCATGCCCTTTTTGCTGAAGAGAGAGATATTGATTGATTATTACGAAAAGCATTTGTAAAATATAGTTTTCTGAATAATCATAATGTAGATGTATGTTAGCGAGAACTGTTTCCCAATACTGGACAATTGCCGCTGAGAATTCTTTGCTGTACTAAAATTTGCCGTATTGAATAAAGCCACTAGCATTGAGCTAATTTGTCTTCTACACTCGGTTAAAGGTCTTCGAGTCATCGGTTATTTAGGACTTAAGTTAACCATTCAGTCATTAAGTTTTAATTCTTTATATCATTGTACCTATGGTGTTGTATCACTTTCAAGGTGTATGGTAAAATTTTTGAATTTTATCTTATTTACCCAATAAATTTGATCAGAGCTATTCAATTTCTAATTATTATTGCGTAAAATAATGTTTCAAAATCAACGGAGCATAAACAATCTAGATGGATGTTGTTTGCTTATTTAAACAATCTCTAAAATAAAAATTAGTTCGTTTGATAATGTTACAAGGTATGTCTGTATCTCAATATGCTAGAAATACTAAGTAGATTTCTATCATGTATGATTAAATATTCATTAGCGTATCGGTGATTCTGAACTACAAGTTACGTATTATTTTACCGTCATAAGTATCTATGACTACTAGACTATCATCCGGTTAAATAGATGTCACAGCCAAAAATACTGCACCCTTTCTCCTATACAAGACTACTGGCCACATATTTAGTGTGTTTGTTGATAGTATTATCCACCTAATTACCTATTTTAGTAATGCTCATCAGTTGTTTAATACTGTAATTTACTCAAAGTAATCTTCAGTACACTTTTAAACATTACAGAAATTTTTTGGAATGATAAAAGTCTTCATTATTATAACACAGTAGTTTGCAAGGAAAATAGTACTTTTGATTCCGAAGCAAATCAACTTGTTGAGTTATTTAGTTATATTTGTTATATCCTAACGAAGAATAAATGAATATTAACTGCTAGGAATTATTTATAGACGATTAATACACATATTCTTATTGGTAATTACTAAGTAACCAGACTATATATATATATATATATATATATATATATATATATATATATATTTGTGTTCTTTTTGGCTTTTGTATCACTTTCGGCTTGATCTTGTACTATTTTCTAGTTTATGGTGTGATGCGGTCTGCTTTGCTTGTATATAGACCGCGTATGTCTGAAATATATGATTCATACAGTGGAAGCTGAGATTGTGTTCTGAATTAAACGGGTAGGGAAAGACAAGAATAACCGATAAGGACTCACAGTTGACCCTGGGCTGCTCGTGCTGGTTAACGCGTCATTGGTTTGATACAGGGACAAGGCCGTATAAATCGGATCCTGATTCACGATCTTGTCACGTGATAATTGACAGGGAAAAAGATATAACAATATTCTTCAATTTATTCATCTACTGCTGACTGAAAATGATTTAATCTGTTTCGATCAGTAAACGGAGTATCGTTAAAAACTTCTTGAGTGACAGATTTTCTCCATCATCTCATTGAAACAAATGTCTTTTATGGAGCTGAATGATTTTTTACACTGGATGACGCATTAACTGAAGCTCCTAATTTGAATCACTTTACCTAAACTCATTGGTCTATATTTATTATGATCAACATACGATCCCAAAATATTTGATACAACTCCTCATAGAGGAAGAGGATTGTGGTTTTGTACTCCTAATTAACTGCCTCAAAAACAAAATGAATAATTTCTCCTATAGTGTCTAGTTTTCAATGAACTGCCAATAATGAATATAAATTTAGTACATATAGTTTCCTTCATCATTTTGAAAAAAGCAAGAACAAAGATTCTAGCAGAATAACATCAATTCATTTTATTTCGTTGTTTCTCGTCAGCTGCTTACACCCTGTGATATTTCAAAATCATAATTATAAAATGGGTTTAAATTACTAACATGAAAGTGTTTAGTCGGAAGTTATGTCGAAGACATTGGCATACTATATCGAGGGTGTAAATAAATTTAATAGACTGAATATTGTAAATATATACGTGCTAATGCAGCTACATTGGCTGAACAGGAAGGAGGGTATAACTTAGATTTTTTAAGGATTTTCCAAAAAGCCTTAGAACAAGAGAAAGACTATAAACAGTGCAATTACCAAACACCTCTTGGATACAGGACATCAGGCCGACACCCCCGCAATCTTTCAAGGTCATTAGTAAACAGCCAAACTCTAGTCTTCTGAAGTTTTCTGAAGCCGTTGCTACCAGACGTTAAAAACCTGATTTATATGTTCAAAAGGAGATGGTTATTGCCCTTTCCTTGTCTTAATGACAAATACTCCGTTGCATCTTAAAAATTTTCTTGAAACTCTTTCTTGCATTTATTACATCATTTAGTTTTTATTTCAACTAACTTCCAGAATAATAATCTTATTTTATTAACTGAGCTGTACTCATTTTATTCTTATCAACGTTTGCTCATTATGTAATCACTTGTTTCTGGCCGTTTGAACTGTTGTCACAATCAACGTTGTAGAATTTTCTTTTACGTAAGATATATATTTACAATATTCAGTCTATTACCCCTTCCAGCCATAAAGAATGGTGAAGCCTGGTAGGTATTTATGGAGAAGAATGCTACATTGAAGCACGGCACAACTACCGAAGCAGGATAGCTGTTTTTGCACTGCTTACGCAGAACCATTACATAGCACTCACAACCCATTTTTTGTTTGTTTTTGTTTCGGCAGACTCAGTTTTTTCCACTCTTTTGAACCCTCAATAGTAATGCAATGACTCTTTGTAGCATTCGTAATCGTTCTCGGGTATTGGTAGAGTGGTTGATTGGGCCGATCTCCACCACCCTCATTAACGCTCACGTTAGTTTATGGAAACAGTCCAATGATCCAGGAGGCACGACGAGGACGTGTGAGTCTGATTTTGACTCCCAGTCTATTAAATTTATTTACATCCTTGTTATGCTATACAAATGTGCCTTCAATATAACTTCCGACTAAACACTTTCATGTTAGTAATTTAAGCCCATTATTTAATTATGATTTTAAAATATCACAGGTTGTAAGTAGCTGACGAGAACCAACGAAATAAAATGAATCCATGCTATTCTGCTAGAATCTTTGTTCTTCAAACTGAACACAAATATATTTAACATCATTATATGTTTTTCTTCTTTCTAATTGTTATCATCCAGCTCCTGGCATATCAGATTATATTAATGATACAATTAAAGCTTATGAAACATTAAAACCGAAACTTTTGAAATTAACGATTAGTTTAACATTTGAACAAAAAAAGCATACACCAATTTATTTGGCTGCAACTGCTGGTATGCGATTAAAACTGTAAGTTTTTTCAATTAACTAATTCATTAATATCATAGTGTTTTCATGTACATGCATAAATTTTTGTGTAACTAGTGCCTGGTCCTATGTTGTAGCTGACTGACTGACTGAAACTAAATTCCATTATTAGTTGTTTTTATCACAAGTTGAAAGCCAAATTTAAATAATACAGAAGTTTTCGATATCTATTATGTGTTAGTACGTTTGTATGAAAGTCAGATAGAAAAGACAGAACTTGATTAGTAGATTCTATTTATTTTGTTAGAGTATGACATCAAATTACAGTTACAACTGTTTGAGAACGGGAGAAAATTTGTATGCTAACAATCAAAGAACATTTTGTCTCCACTGAAGAAATAGACTTAAACATCTGTGATCTGACTCGATTGGCATCAAAATAGTCATAAGAAGAAGAAGAAACGACGAACTTTACTGAGTAACACAGTTAAATAATAAAGAATATCTCATTCACTCCCGCCTATTTTTTATCCTATCTTTTTAAGTTGAAGGTTAGGAGATGACAATATACTTCAAAACTTGTCAAATAAACTCCTTAACAGTTGAATTAATGAGTCAATCTAGGATAGAACATCATTGAAAACCCGGAAGCACCAGACAGCCGTTTCGTCCTAACATATATATATATATATATATATAATATTGAATTCATGAGTCAATTAAAGTCCCACAATAGCTAGAAACGACCGTCCAGTGCCTGCGGGTTTTCTATGGTGATCTAGCTTCAATCGACTCATGAATTCAACCATAAAATTACTAAAACCTCCACAAAACCCCTTCTCTTTTTATGACGATTACTATTATAAATATAAGCATTACTATTGCTGCACTCAATAAACTACTTTTTTTCCCATCTGTTTGATATAAACATGTATATCCCAATAAAAGTGGTTCTTGTAAATTATTGTAAATATGAGATGGACTAATTCATGTCTCTTATCTCCGTATACCCGTCAAATTATTTGTCCACTTGTATGTATAATACATAATTCGGATTTAATTGAATCTACTTCTATATATGTCGTATCTGATATGTGGGGCGAGCAGTTGACTGAGCTAATACCCATACATATAATCCATATTATTCTACCGAAAATAGAGGAATAATAGTAGAAAGATAAGGATTAATAAAAAAAATGGCTTCCAAATATGAATTGTCATTGTTAATAACAATCATAAAGTGTTTTACATTTGATTCATCAAATGTATCATATTATACCCTTAGATAAATGTATTACCATTTCATTTCCAATAGTGTAGTAAATATTTACTAAATTGGTTCCATGATGTGTATCCTGTGCAATATTTTTTTTAAAAGAGAGAGAGGATGTTTCACCAAGTATTGATATCAGTTAAAGAACTTGTAGTATCAGTTTATATGTTAAGCCCATATACTTTATTCTAGCTTCTGGCCAAGCCAATTCGCCTGTTCATTATGTGTCATGTTTACACGTTGTTATTTATTCACTTATTAACTCTGGCCATTTTTTATATGAGCGTACGTATGTGCACACTTCCTATCCTACTTATCGCATGTCTGTCATTTAGTCTTGTCTGACTATAAATATTAGTTAAGGCTTGGTTAAAGTGAGTTGGCTTATCCGCCATCTCCATTGCGTGTCATTTTTGTTTCACTCGCTGATATTTACTCATGTGCTTATGGCTTTCTTGCCTGCGTTATTTGTCAATAAAAATGTAGTTGCCGCTTCTCTTTGCCTTCTGATTTTATGCACCATTAAGATTTGTATTGTAATGGTTATCGGGGTGAACGATTAGCAAAGCACGGCACTACAAACTAATGTGATAAGCTTGAATTGTATTAACTGAAGAGAGATTCTCTACGGATTCCTTTTATATTATTAACACTAGTTAGTGAATTGTCTAAAACTAGGATGAATTAATTGTCCAATATATTTTCGATTGATTTCTAAATGATTCTTTATTGGATAATAGTTAAGTATTATCAATATATAGAGATGAGTTCAGTTAGCTAGTAGTCTAATCATTGAATATGTAGTTTTATCAAAGTAAAACTGAGTTTATATTTTGTATTATCCAGTTAAAAGCATTTATAGAAAGAAAAAAAAATCTATTTCATTACTTCCATTGGTTTTTTTCTATTAACTGATTGTAATGAATTGATAGTTTTTTCCCCCCCCCTTTTTTATATAGTTTATTTGTGCTTTTTACGAAGAAAGAGGTAATGTACCATGATTACCTAAAAATAGCATAGACAATTAATGAAATATTTAAAAAAAAAGAACATTCCATCCATTAGAATACGGTAGTCGTTTAAATATTAAAAAGACATCAAACTATATCACATACTTATTTAACATATAGATTTAATGGTTTATTTGAAATGATCTGATATAGAGGGAAAGTTGTTTTTTTTTAAATTATTAGATTGTACCAAATTTTATTATTTTGCTTCCTTCCGTTTTTATTCTGGTTTGAAAAGTTTATCATTTAATGTAGATTCTCAAGGAACTAATCAAGACATTAAAGATTTAAAAAGTAATATTGGTAAAAGTGTCATTTACTAATGACCTTCGGTCAGCCAATCAGAAATAAGATAAATCTTAATTTATTTTGCTCAAAGTTGAAAGTACTGTGATAAATAACTTTTATGTTATTATTAACTGGATGGAAATATGTCAAACACCAAAATTATTGAAATATAAACAGTTAGACGTATACTAAATAGGTCAACCAACCATGTTAACAATGTTTAAAGTAAGTATTTGCTCCTCATTCTTCGAATACAAACAATCTGTTATCTTAACACTTTTCGTTACATACTAAAGCAAATATTTACTTTAAGCATTGTTAATGTGGTTGGTTGACCTATTTATTATATAGTTATCTGTTTATATTCAATAATTTTGATGTTTGATCATATTTCCTTGAAAAAGTTTGTACGAGATTACCGAATGAAACGTTGAATTTACTTCAAATTCATATAAATATATTCTTCCTCCTTGAAGTCATTAAGATGTCTAACTAAACAGTGACGCTAGTATGAAAAGTTCTCATTGGTGTAAATGCCATCACTAATAATGTAAAACATATCAGAAACATATCTTGATCTAAGTTACTATAGTTAATATTTACTAAAAAATGGGAGAACATAGTTAAAATGAAAATTGCTGTGAGAAGGAATTAGCATCCATTAGAACGGAAAGTTAAATTTAAGAAAGATTTTTCAAATGCAACGAATCAAATTGAAGTAATAGAGATATGGAATGACACAAGCCTCTGGATTTAGAATACGATATAAAATGATTATAACTGCGTTTGGAGAAATGTCACCTTACGTCTCCAACTATCATTTGATACTATTACACTGTCTACAATAAGAAACTCTGTTTGTTTCCCGAACCATTCAGTAACATTATTAACTATTAACAATTATTTTGTTCAGATATCTTTGATTTACTTCTCACCTACTCCTATGTGAACCAGTAATGAACATCAGAACAGGCGGTGGCTAGAAATCTGTAATATATATCCCATATCAGTTATTAGTTAGTATCATTAAATATGAAAGTTTTGTAAAGATTAAATGAGTCGACGGTTTAGCTTTTCAAATGAAGACCTCACTTACTAATTGTTGATTGGTATTTTTTACATATGTACACTGAATACCTACAAACTATTTATTGTGTTTATAGGTATTAATACCAAGGTTGAACTTGATAGTTTCAAATAATCTGAGCATTAGGTAGAAAGTTTCTTTTGTACTCTTTAGACTTATGTTAATTTAATTCAGTTATTTACTTATTTTGAAGAAGTGGCTTACATTAAATCACAATTTATTTATTTATTTAAACACATAAATATTGGTGCAAGAGGGCACCACATATATATGTGCCACACAAAACAATGAAAATGGGAAGAGAAAGGGGTAAGATGCATATATAAATAAAAAAAGTAATGGTGATGGAAACTGAAATGTACAACCGGAAGAACTCTCTCAGTTAAGAAGATTATAACCACTCTTTATGCAGAAAGTAAAAGAAGGTTACAGCAGGATCGCAATTGACTTCTATTCTGAGCCATATCTAATAACGTCACTAGCCACTGTGTAGCACCATCTCTTGGGCCCCAGCCAGGGAGTGGTTGGGCACCCGGGCAGTATCACAGCCCTCGCGTAAACATATGAAATAACGTTTTCTGCTCACGATGCTTTTCTCGCTTCCACTAAATCACGATACATTAAAAATATAACTTTGCTACTCATTGGGATATGACAAGAACATATATTTATTGTTATTTATTGTGTTATTTCAAAGTTATCATTAACAAACTTGTTAATGTGTAAAAAACATCAAAATGATTTACATTTATGCACATAATTTATCGTATGTTAACTTACCGATATGGTATGAAGATGAAGATGACAGGACCTCATGAACTCCTATGAAAGATAATAAATGACATTGATTTTATGATATACACGAATCAATTGTTTGTGTCACGAGATAATTGTTTCTTCACTTTTCTACATACCTAAATACTTTTCTTAATACTTCAACTGGTTTACGGTACTTTTTAACTTACACATTCAATGAAATATATACTGATTACCAAACAAATGGATAATCTTAAACATTCTAATTTTTACACTTATTGAGCGCTTAGTAGTGACCAATAGTATATTATTTAGTCCTTTGAACCAAGTTACAATGTGGCCATACTAAACCATGTAACTTGGTACTATCATACACTTTTTTGGTGTTAGATGATATTGAGCAGTTCATTGATAGTATTGGACTTCTTTTCGGTGTTGATTCCCACTCATTACCAGTTATTCTAATAAGAAATTCACGTCTAGAGCTTTCTGTTATTAGTTTTAAATCAACTAACATTTAAACAAATATTTGATTTCTGACTAATCAAAGCTAATCAGTGATGCTTAATTTCAAATCTAACTATCTCTACAGAACCCTATTGGTAATCATCATCGTATACTTACTAGTGGCTTACAAAACTATGACCAGTAGTATTCAGCCATATCTAGCATGAGATAAGTATCACTGATGACAATAGATGATGTTCGTACGCTATCACGAATTGCTTAGGGTCAGAAATGTAAAACATTAAATGACATGTCAGTGTTTTAAAGTCTGGCCACTCACTGGGAAAAATATAGGTTCTAGGTTGAATCTCTGTTAAGTTAATGGATACCCGCTGATGAGGAGTTCCACAGTAGAATGAAATAGCTAACCAATATCTTCCTAGTTTTCAATGGTTATTAACCGTAGTTCACTTCATGGAATGAAACTTTAAATATGAGGAGTTTAGTTGCCTAGCTAGTAACGTATATATATGCGTATGAAGTTCACTTCGTATGACCGAAATTTTCTATCTAGCATCTTAGTGAAATTACATATACATAAATTTATTTGAATGAGAATTTCATATTAGAATTTTTCAAATCCAGCCAATTAGTATTAACACTGATAATTGAAATAAGTTAACAATTCTCATTAACATAGTTGAGATCATGAGTCAATTGAAGCTAGACCACCAAGGAAAACCTGGAAGCACTGGATGACCGTTTCGTCTGATTGTGGGACTCTTCATCAGAAGATATTAATTAAAGATTTTCACATACTAAACTGGCTGGGGTTATCATAAACAATTTCATTATTCAATAATCATGTTATATCCTGTAATATTAGTCATTTTCCCATTCATTTAGTAGATAAGCCCTCTATATTAAAGTATAATTTTGATTTAAGATTTCAACCCTAGCTCTGAATTTCACTGTATTTATGTCTTTCATTCAGTCTACTAAACTGCGCCACAGGGATATATTCATAACAATCAGTCGTAGATGCCTCCAACGATTTGAAATTAAATCCCTGGTGAAAATTACCCTCTTACTAAACAAACAGGAAAATGATCAGAAGAGCTATATACAAGATATGTATATAAGATTTTAAAGGTTCCAGATAACCTCGGTAGTCAAATTTATACAATTAGTTAATCACTTATAATTGTTTAGCTATAGAACTATTAAAATATATTTTTTAATTCTCATATTTAATCATCTCTATAGAATTGAAGATCCATTAGGAAGTTTAGATTTATTCTCAGTAATTCGTCAATATTTAAAACAGTCTGGTTTTCAAATTGAAACACCAAATGAGCGTATTCGTTTATTGTATGGATCAGAAGAAGGACTTTATGGTTGGGTATCAGTGAATTATATTTTAGGTATTATTAAAGAAGTAAGTTTCAAACTAATAGGTTGTTTTTTTTTATTTATTTTGGAGTAATTTTCATTTTTAAATGATTCAAACAATCTTTAACTAGGATTATAAACATTGATATGAAAAAAGTGCTACTCAGAACCGTGTACACTAATCGATACTTGTTTACTGAAATACATAAAATTGGTAACATTTATAACAGCTTTATCGAATTACTATTTTCTTGTCTTTGTTACAATAAATGATTCTTTTACTTACTTACTCCTGTCACCCTTCGTGGAGGGGCATAGGTCGCTCATCAGCACTCTCCATCCAACTCTGTCTTCGACAATCCTTTCCAGTTGTTATTCATCTTTTTCACGTCTGCTCTTTAGCCTTCCTCTTTTCTTTCTCCCTTAAGGATTCCAAGTTACCGCTTGCTCCGTGATTCAGTTTGGTGATTTCCTTAATGTGTGTCCCATCCACTTCCAGCGTTTTTTCCTGATTCCCTCCCCAGCTGGAACCTTGTTTGTCCTCTCACACAGTAGGTTGTTGCTGATAATATGCGGCCAACGGACATTGAGTATCTTGCGTGGACAATTGCTGATAAATACTTGTAGCATTTTGAGGATGTTTATGTTAGCTCTCCACGTTTCAGCTCCATACAGTAGAACTGTCTTGACGTTCGTATTGATTATTCTGACTTCGATATTGATTGACAGTTGTTTTGAGTTTCATATGTTCCTCAACTGTAGAAATGCTGTCCTTACCTTTACGTCTGCATCAGATCCTTCACGTTCATCGATGGTGCTACCCAGATACTTGAAACTTTCCACCTCTTCCGGTAATTCATAAACCTTCTACATTAGAGCATGAGTATATATGTGTTAGCATTTATAATCATTCAGTTCAAACAAATCTAAAACTTGATAGTCGGTCGTAATATTTGCACAGTTGGAAAATAAATAGCTAAAATCGCTGAGTAGGCCAACAAGTTTAAGCACCAGATTTTCAAATATCGTGCTTCAACTTTGAATCCCTGGGACAGTTAGAATACCGTCGAATCGTATACAGAAGGTTTGGTTGAAAGCCTAGTATATGAAGGCTATATTTGATGGTTTTATTACACTGTTGCTAATATATTAGTGAGAGAGTGATAATGAATTTTAGTTCGTGCAAATCCCAATTGTATTTCAATCATTTGATAACGTGTAAAATATCCCAAGGTATTTTTTTAAAAACTACTACGATACCCAATTAGTTGATCCGTGGATTTTGTTTGCCAAGTGCTACGTCATTCGCGATATCTACCATTTCAAAACACTGATGAAGTTTTAACCGAACCATTTTCTTAGTGTTGTGGATGACAGTGTTCGGAATCTAATACTAATACACGACGTACTATGCACTAACCAGCCCCCCTCCCAACCAAATATTTGAATGAGAACACAAGAGTGATTGAGAAGTATATTGAGCTACTGGATAGAATTCACAAATACTCATTTAAATATATAACTCTACCCCTTAGGAAATTAATCCATTTCTTAGCCAGTGAGATGCACTCGTCCTTCAGGCCACTTCTAATTACCATTGAATAACCTAATTAGGCTACTTCTGATCGTCACACTATACTACTCAGCGTGATTATGTTCTCCCTACACAGAATACTGAAGAGAACTCTGAGCTTGCTGGACTGATGACTATTACCGTATATGCTTTGATAAAAATGTTGTGCTCAGAAATACTGTCACTTGCGATCATACGTTTCGCCTACATTATGCACTTCATGTTACTAACAGTCTTATAGCGAATGCTCCGTTTAAACCTAGCCCAGCCAACATCCATGAACCCACAAGTGCTACTTGAACCCATAACTTTCGGTCTTAACCTCTAGACCATTGAACTAGTGTCCAGCGGTGTTAATGTCTAACTCTAACTGATCCACGTTATCTCGCGATCATCTTCCATTGTCTTCGGTTGAACTCCACTGGTCATGTCCTACTACTGAGCACATGAGAATTGTCAGTATAGGGTTATAGAGACTGCTAACTTTCATTCAAATCACGAAGTGATCAATGAAAGACGGTCTCACACATATCCTATAATCTCTTAATAATTCACTTATTTCTGTTTAATTATTACACTCAAATATGATTAGGGTAAACAAACAAATCCTTCTGAAACAGTTGGTTCTTTGGATCTTGGCGGAGCTAGTACACAAATCGCATTTATTCCCAAAACATATTCAAATATACCAAAAGAAAAATTAGACTTTTATCCACTCCGATTATATGGAAATGATTTTTCAGTATATAGTCATAGTTTCTTATGCTATGGAAAATCGGAATTTGAAAGACGTGTAATAACTTCAATTGCAGTAAGTTTTCATTTTCTAAATTAAAAATAATGATTATTGATTAGTATCTAACACGTTTTTTAAGATTTCATTTATTATAATATGATAATTGATAAACTTTCCCGCTTAAAGTTTTTATTTATTATATATTGGGTGTTCTTCTTTTCGAAGATGTTCTTATGATAATTTTTTTCAAAATTTCATAGTTGCCAAGAGACGTTTTTTTGGAAATCTAAGTTTACGACAACAAAAAAAAAGATATATATGTGGATCTTGTGTAGATTGCCTTGATATTGATATGACGTCACGGGTTTTATATAGAATAGACTAAATGTGGTTAGGAGTGTTTCCTCCTATTCGAGAATTGTCATATAAATGTACCTAGATCTCACTGTTAATGTTCACACCTAGTACTTGGAACTCTTCATCAGCGTGTACCACCATGATTCTATTGGATGCCGAACATAGAAAATTTAGGTCTCATAACTAATGCGTTACTTTTAAATCACTAAATGGGATTCTGAATCATTGGAATTTCGCAGCTCCAATTAATTATTATCCGATCATCCGCACGGATGTAGCTTAGTTAGCTTAGGTCCTGCTTATCTAGCTCTACGCTTTCGCAATACGTCAAGAACTAACAAAAGTTCATGGCTGGTCTGAAACAGTTGCCTCTTGAGCAATACATACGCATTCCTAGGTCATCACGACCACTTCTAACCCAATTTTCTCTTTGACTATCTCAAACAAAAGAATTATCTTTCTGCAATGTAAGGAACCGGAAATTAAAAGCCACCCTTATACTTCTCGTCATTGATAATAATAATAAATTATATTTTAGTTGACGACACCACTTACGTAATCTTTGTAATAATTTCAAAACTATTATTCAATGCATTTCTGATTCTCACCATCAATATCTTACTTGAGTTGTTGAGCAATAATAATAAACATCATTCCATAAAAAATTAATTGAAGTGAATACATACTTATTCGAATTTCGAGAGGCGAGATCATGGAAGCGCACTGCTGAGGAGTCCCACAATAGATCCCACAACAGGTTTTCCTTGGTGGTCTAGCTTCAACTGACTTATAATCTCAACTATGAACATACTTATTCACAATTTACATTGAATACACACTAAATTATTCATATGTCAACTTATGTAGCCACACTTTCTGAGTAAACACTTCAAAACCGTTGTTTGATAGTGAAGGTAAATTTAATTGGTCACTGAGTTTGGACAAACAGTTGCTCAGCTTATTGAACATTAAATATTATGATTTCCTTTCTTCTTATTGTTTTCTATACTGGACTCACTGAGATTAACTGTTTGTAATTGTGTGGGATAAAATATTTGTCTGGTATTTACTCTGATTCTCTATTTTTGGTCATCAACTGTGTATCTGATATAAGGCGATCTAGTCTTTGTATAGTGAATTGTTCGAGTATTCAGTTTAGTGGTATCATAAACTCGGTCAAGCAGATCAGTATTATTGTCATATTTAAGTTATCGTACTGAAAGAAGAAAAACGTTTTCATCCATCCATAATAAAAGAAATTGGGAAAATGTTCCTTATCAGTATGAAGCTTTATTCATAGACATCATTAGTTCATTATATTTCATACTCTATATATTCATATTTGAGATGGTTGAGGAAATTTGTAGCTCAGGTGGGTGATTTTGGTGTAGGTTTGTTCTCTGAGCTGGATGGTTTGGTCGTGGAGCTAGCTCCACGATAACATTAGCCAAGTCCAATTATAACTAAAGAGTGTTATTATTACATTTTAATTAATTGAAAATCATTATATTTTAAAAATATTCACTTAAAAGTCTTTTTTCTCTCTTCATAGGCATCATCTTTGTTACAAAGTGAAATTCCTAATCCATGCTTTCTTCAAGGCTATAAATCGGATTTGTACAATGCATTTGAATGGTTCTCTGGAAGTTGTTTATCTGGAACTTATGTAAAGAAAACATTTGCTGAGGAAATTTTCCGACCTCCTGTAAGTTATGAAATGATTTAGTATTTAGGTAGCTTCAGCTAGGTTAACTGTATGTATATAATACATTTTGTATTTTGAAAAACATTTTATGTTTACGATCAGTTTTAGCTCATAGTCTGTCCAATTTATCCATCCTTAATATAATCAAGGATTAGAAAGTAGAGGATTAAACTCATTCACAACTACAGATGAAATTAGTTGATTTAATAAATGATTGGCAATTGAATGTAGGATTCACGTTTCCTTTTGTTTTGGACCCGTATCCTGGAAATACTTACATCGCACTCTTCATATTTAAATAGAGAAGTAAACGCAGTACATTTACCTTTAAACTCCAGTCAGTTATCCATTGGCTCACTCAGTCCAGTTTGCCAGTAAACTGTTCCAGTACTTTGAAAGTATTAGTGAAAGTATGCATTCTTCCGTTGTTGATATTAAAGATTATAACTGATCAGTCTCAGTTGCTATATCTTCATCTTAAGTGGGTATAATGTTATGTCACAAGTTTCATTATATTTGATACGTGACTTGCAGTGGAATCTAGTATGTGTGTTTTATCCAATTTGGGATTCGTCAGATAAATGCTACTACATTCCAATAATGATATTTGCATTGAGTCTTAAACTGAGTTCTTTTCGCTTTAGTAAAGCAGATGCAGTAATTATTAAAATAATTTCCCTAAAAACTTGTTCGAGGAATGGAATGATTCAATAAACAGAATTCAGTAGCTTGAATTTACACTTCAACTTGTTCGAATTTTGTGAGATGGAAAAAATAAATAACCTGTGTGTTTCATCGATCAACTGCATACTTTTTTATGGCTTCATTCGCAGCTTCTGAAGAAAAATGTCCTGAAGGTCATTACTAAAGTTTTAGATTCATTTAAGATTATTATACCTCTTTGTCTAAAATTAACATGTCTCCTGCAAATTTAACTGGGCAAGACATTTGAAAAGCGAAGAGAAGAACTGATTGACCACTTTCTCTCCAAAAACTTGTCACTCTAGCGATTTAATCTGTCTGTATATTTGAAATATGTCAATCTGTAAATGGGAAAAATCAAATGTTCTTGTGAAACGGAAATATTTTTCAACGAATTTTCCCTATGAAAATCTAACATTTTCTGTAACTAGTAATCAGCAGGCGTTTTAACATTGACCTCATATGTCATTCAATATTAGGAACGATAAATATATATTTAGTGAGAGATCAGGTCATTAGACCAAGTGATCAATATTTTGCTGTAAGTAACTTGTGAACATTGTTGAATTTCATATTTCATATCATGAACTGGTCTTAGTTATACAGCTACTAAAAAGTCGGAAGTGTCGGACAACTGTTCCGTACAATGATGAGACTCTTAAGAAATGCCTATCTATGACCCGACAGTGGAAACTAAGACCACAGGCCTTTAGGAAACCAAGCCAGAATCCACTGATTTACATTTCTAAAATTAGTCGATTCTTGATGTTCCGTTCACTGTTGGACTTTTAGGGTCTATGTTCGACCCCCAGTAGGATTGTGAATGTGAACCGTTAAGGAGTTTCATACCAGAACATAATAGCTGTACGGTACTCCCTAGTTTTCAAAAGCTTTTTAACTAAAATCAATCGGTGATGGAAACTAATCAATACATTTGTTATTAATGCTTGAAAGTTATTTCTTTTTCTTCATATTTACAAATTAAACGATACACTTATCTACATGAATCCACAGTTTCCTGTTCTGTTTCCTGTAGTTTGTTAATATATTTACAATTACATATTCTGTTGTTGTTTTCTATTTTAAAGTTATTTGTCAATTAATTTGATAATTGTATTGTACCAAGTAGATTTTCTCATTCATTAGGTCTTAGTAAAACACTTTTTTTCTTTATATTTTAGAATATGAATAGTTTTTCATTTAATGGTACAGGACAACCTAATGAATGTGTCAAGTATATTCTAAAACATTTTCAAACGAAATGCGATCATTCATCATGCTCATTCAATAATGTTTTTCAACCAGCTCCATTTGGAAAGTTTATGGTCAGTTGTTTTATTTTAAATAAAATGAATAATCATAATAATAATAAATAACAGATAATAGGTAATATTACGGTTAATGGCAGTGGAAAAAGGACCCAAATCACGTTATACTCGGGACGCATTAACCAAGTGTACCTATTGTTAATGTCCATATGGGTACTTGCTAGCCTCCTTTACTAGAGTTAGAGAGTTATACGTTAATAGTTGAATTCATGAATCGATTTAAGCTAGACCACCATTGATAAACTGAAAGCACTGAATGGCCGTTTCCTCCTAGTATAGGACTCCTAAGCAGTACGCATCGACGATCCCGCACATGGAACTCGAACCTAGGCAATCAAAATAAAAACAGCATTGAAAGAATAATAAAGTATATAGAAGACAATTTAAGGAAGATGTGCAAATGATGTATTTAATATGATTTTCATATTTTACAAAGGTACTGTGTAATTCTCTCTACCCAACCCAAATCTTCGTACATTACAATACGATTACTCCTTCTTAAATTGTAATGATCTGTCATAGCTTATAGGGGAAAATTCAGTATCACACATCACTAGCATTCAAATCAATTAAGCCCTTGGTCACCCTATCATTAACATTTACCCTTTAAATGGTGTGTGTTTAGCCTTGAAATACGTTGTTTATCGATGGACTGGTTTGCAAAGCACAGTTTTTTGAAGAATCCGGAAAGGATAAGAATGGGAGAAAAAGTAACTTAACAAATCGGTAACCATTTGAAATAAACTTGTTTTAATGATCCGAAAGCACTCGCGCATAATAAATAACATTACAAACATGAAATTATGACAATCGGATATCCAAAACGAGGAGTTTAAAACATAAAACTTTTAACTCATTACTTGATATCAGTCCTATTGGTCAGTTATGGCTCGAAGAGCGCACTGGTGATTCCCGCATTATAAAGCTGGGTGGTACGGGTCTGATTCACAGAGGATGTATCAGTTCCCTGAAGGTTGTAGATGCCAGTTTTCGACGAAGACCAGTTAGCATGAAAACTAGGTCGAAAATTTCCTGTAGAATACTTCTAACGACCAAACATCCATTGACTTATTAAAAAAAGCTACTGACAGATTGATGAAAACCAAGCATTAAATCATTCAAAGAATAAAGTATCCTGCTAATTGTTCTAATCATCCGGTACATAACTATCAATACACTTTAAAATGATAAACACTAAATTTCTGAGCTTGTAAAATAGGAAATTCCACTGTTGTTGTAACATAACCGATAAATTAGCGCTTACTAATCATTTAGTTGATTGATTTACGCGGCATCATAAAACACTAACTTCCATTCCCTGGGCGCTATAAATTAACTTCTTATGGTTTATGATGAAAAACATATTTGATAATTGTGAAATTAGTTGATAAAATGCCCCGATCTGTTGATAATACATGATGATACTGTGTGACCGAGCAATGACTAATCACTAAACAGAATCAATGACATAAGCCTCTAATAGAATAGATCTTTTCTTCGAACAAAATAGTATGCTAATACATAAAATATTGAATACAGGAACAAACATGATTATAAGTCCTTCAAACAGGTAAACAATTCCATGATGTACCAACTACATATCATCCACTCTCCAATGGAATTAATGCTTAAATATCAGGCTTGTTCCTGCTCAGTTATATCAATAGCAATAAAATTCAAAAAAATTCAGTAAACTGTTGGAAACCGATGTTTTTTTTACATTACAACTGTACATAATGATTACTGTTAATTCTTACTTATTTTCTTATTTCTTTATGGTGTCTAACTTCTACATACCACACTGAGATTCTTTCGGTTTTATTTATGTTCTTCTTCTTGTAGCTGAGTCATATAAATTTAATTATAACTAAGTAATCTACAGGCATTTCAATATGGTTTCATTTATTTAGGGCTTACAAATTATTATAACAAAAACACCACTAAAATGATTCATGTTAATTTATAAATCACATCATAATAGTTAACTTTCAAGGATGATTCAGATTGCTAGTAATTTAGTGTATGTCAAATAAATTTAATTGCTTTAAATAAAACTACTACTATTTATTAATGAGTAGCATATTTCTGACTAGCAAAATGTCGTCCGATTTCCTGGTCAGTTAATTTGAACAAAATGTATCGAAGGTAGCTTTTTTTCAAATACTTGAATAATTTGAATTGTGTGAGATGAATTATCGAAAAGAGTTGAAGCTTTAAATTACGTAATATTATATTTGATTCCAAATGTTGTTCAGCAATAATTTCGCCTTGAACCTTATTGTTTATATGTAATCTCTACTACTGTGGTGTGGTCTACTTATATCCATATAAGTAGTGTATGGTGATGGTCAGACATAGAATGTATTTTGGAAGAAGATTGATAAGGAACGAACACGAATGAAGCGCAATCGGTATGAGGATACACTACCATTAATACTGTTAACATATACATTATTTTGGGATTTATCTTGATAATTTCATCCCGTTGTTCTGTTTTGATATGATAACGTGAAAAAAATGTGTACATAAGCCCTAGAATCTATTCTTAGGACTCTGAAAAGTTGACATAGTGCATTAATATACTTTATCAACTTTCTTTACTTACGATATATTTTTCAGAATACACTTTCGTAGATGCAAAAGTTCTTGTAGGCTACTGAATGCTGTCAGTATATTGACTTTTCACATTTGATCATTATTATCTAGTAATCACAAAATTTTGAATCTTTAATAAATGCTTTCTCTCACATAGAATAATCCCTTAAATGGACAGTGTCTAGTTATGCGTAATGTTTATAAAAGCTTGCTTCAGTTATTCAAATTTGAGCAATGTGGGAAATAGTTGTACATAATTTTTTAACTTAATGTCACCACGACTTCAGACCAAACGAACATCGATTTTGCTGATATTTCTGTTATTCATGAATTTTAAAACAATGGCTACCTCTCCAAATCACTTAAATTAGGTTGTCTTAACTCTGAAGAGAGCGAAGTTTTTGGTTTACAATAATGTTTGAACTGATTTTTCACGGTTCAAGTTTATTTTTTCTACTGTTTAGTATTATAATAGACGATGGAACTTTTTAATAAAGCAATATTCATATTATTTACTGCTTTTTTAAATCTAATTTCAGGCATATTCTGGATTTTCGTATGTGATGCGTTATTTATTTCCTAATAAGAACACAGGATTTACACTAACAGAAGTCACTGATGCCGTTATGAAGTTTTGCAAAAAACCATGGAAAGATGTAAATTTTCATTCATTTTCTGACGACTTCTTATCACTTATAAGTTAATTTTTTTAATTATAATTGATCTGAGGTGATTTAGTGTACTTAGAAGGGAATCGTATGTTCAGGTCTCGTTAGAATTGACACTTGTCAGCAAGGTGTACCTGCAGTCCTGAAAGAACTAACAACTTCCATGGAATCAGAACTTGTGAGATGAATTCTGATTGACATTGAGGAATAGACAAATATATTATTAGATACTACTCAGTAATCAATTGATGTGAATTATTGATATAATTATTTGTAGTAGATTTATAAATATTGCATAATTTGTGATGTTCAACATTTCTACTTATGTTAATTATCATTTGCTACGATGACCATTGTAGATAACTTGGTTAGTTATTAGCATTACACAAAGAAAATTATATAATTTGTTTGTTCCTGAAAACTCCGAGAATTATTCATTGATCTATTTTACTACAACTGACCAGTGGTTTTACTAAATGATGAAGTTTTGAATTCATTTTTCGACATATTATATTGTATCCGAAGAGTCGTTACTATTATGCGCGTATCAACTCTGCTGAGTCCATAGTCTCACTACTTTTATTTGGCTTTCAGAAACTACTGCTTATACTGTGACACAGAAAATACTATATTTCCCATGATGCAGTAAGAACAAGAAAGACTGACCCCAAAAAGACACATCTCCAAACAAGTCCTAAAATCACATCATCACTAGAATAAAATGCAATCATTTATACACTAATTTTTACACCCACTTTATAATAACATGTAGGGGAAAATAAATAGGGTTACTGTAAAAAACACTATATGTAGGTCATCTGAATTAATATAGAGAATAAAATTGTCACATTGAATGAAAATTCACACGTGTCATGTCGAGCAATGTTTATATTGAATTGACACAAGAAAATCTTAACCTAAAAATACCATACTAAACTGGTGTTCACACCTGCCACCCTGGCTGAAATTCTTGGTTAATTGATCTAAATGATACCATTTTATCGACCATGACCTTTTCGGGTATGTGTGTGGCGTCGGGGATTCTAAACTAAATTAAAACTCTCAGTATTCTTCAGAATGGTAACAATGCTTAGTAGTATCAAGTTTGAACCCTACAAAACACAACAACATGTAGTCGTCATCAACACAGACTCTGACACATATATGCGTTAGCCCAAGTCTCTGCACCACGTTAGTACGATGAGGTGAAATGAAAAAAAATAGTTGAAACAATATAGAAACAATCAGGAAAAAAGTCTAAATCAATGAAGTCATTGAAGATCCACTAACCTATCCACCGATTTACCATCTTTACCAGGTACCCATTTAATTATAAGTAGGAGGCAATATCATTTCTGAACCGTCTTTTTCGGTGTAGACTGAATACTTTTCATTTTAGTCACGATAAAGTCACCGGTCAAAATGATACGCAGTACATCTTGTTTTAACGTTCATTGGTTAGACAACATTGACAGAGTACCTTGTACTTAGTCTTTATGCTATGTAGAAATCGCCCAGCAGAGTATATCTTCAATACCAATAAAATTGATACTAATAAAATGTCGTATGAACTCACGTCATTGTCAAAGATGTTAGTACTAAACTCTTTGGTCAATCCAGTTAATCTCCAATAAAGATCAGATGTTTGGAGGTTCTACTCTCAATTCACCTACATTGCTTTAGGCATCCAGGTAGCCTTAACACACGCACGCATACACAGAAGTTCGATTTTAAAACTGTGCACACTTTATTTTGTACTACTTTCTTATTTTTTGTTGTTCTTTATTTACCATGAACTTTTAGGTGGCTAAAATTACAAAATTATCTGACCAGGGGTTTACTGCTAAATATTGTTTTGATGGTTTATACATTATTACTTTATTGAAAATGTATGGTTTTACTACAGATGAATCATGGAAAACAATTACATTTGATTCGAAAGTAAGATGAATCATATTTTTTCTCACTATAATTTACCGAGCTTTTGATTCTATGCTTGATGATAGTAAATATTAAACATAACTTAAGCTTTCGGTATTGTTGAATTCTTTAAGTTAAGTGATATGATCGAGAAAATTTCATTGTTGTTCTAGTTAGCATCATCAATGCTTAATTTTCATGTAAAGTGAACAGCTTTTATTGTGATTGATTATCCATCTAGGTTTTATTGTCTTCAGTTGTGTTTGTAATCAAGTTGTCTGTCTAGTTCAGTCGATTTACGATCATGTGATTTGTTGACCTTTCTCGTATTCCAGCTTTTGGAGAGATTTTTTAATTCACTACTGTTGACTTATATAGCAGATAATAACTGAAAATAGACATTTGTGTTTCATTCCCTTATCTTGTCCCATGAATGGTTTAAAATTTATCTGTCATTACTATCTAAATGGTTTTAATCATAGACTGTTGTCATCTGGATAATCATGGAAAACCAAAGGAAAATGGAACAGCTTATCTCGTTCTAGATTGAGAGTATTTTATGCTGTGGTTGAGTTCTGTATGGGCTTATGGTAATTACTAATTACGGAACAACTGAGGTTATTCTAACACGTATGGATTCTACGATAGGTCTGATAGAACAAGATTGGCACACAATATTTCAACAGTATTCCTCTATTGCGAAAGAATACGTGAATAAGACGAGAGAGTAGAAGAATTCGATGCTCACATATATAGCACACAGAAAATTAAAAAACTAAATGTAATAACAAATAACCTGAAAATGGTTTGAATAACGCCAAAATTTGAATTAGAAAAACAGTATTCACAGTTATCGTTGACAGTAAGAACTTAAAATTTATTATAAAGAATTAAGTAGTTTGAAGCTGTCCTTAGCAGAGACTGTCGGAGTGTAGTTACGTCGTTCGACCTTTACTTATTAAGTTGTAGGTTGGAAGCCCAATCCACCTACTTGTATCTGGACAACTCGATAATATCAGTGTATGTGTACACTTGGGTATGGCCATACATAAATTTATACCTGGTAAATTTTATGTGGTGTTTACCAACGGATTACATCATATGATAACCATCAGAAGGCTTAAAGCTTCATAGCTAACGGTAAACAACACACATATGTTGTAATTAACCAGTTTAAATGTAGTCATTTTTTAAAAACACCATATGATAAGTGTTTTGTTCCAATGAATGATTCTTTGGAATCAAGAATTTCCATTTATTGATTAGGTGTTGGATGATATGATGGCATTATAGAAAATTATTTACTTTCTATATTTTAACTCCAACTCATCGCTATTCTTGACATCAATATGTAAAAATCCCTTAAATATTCTTTTAAATAATAAATCAGTTTTGTAGGGGTATTTCACTTTTATTTTTTCAACAGTTTGGAAAAATAAACGAATTTTTAAAGTTACTTAAAATCATTAATAGTAGTATGATTTCATTTTTGTTTATTTCTATTGAATACTTTTTTTTCTCTATAGGTTAATGGTAAATCAGTTAGCTGGGCACTAGGCTACATGTTAGATCAATCTGGTCATTTACCAAGTGAAAGTCCAAAAGTTTCTGTTAGTACACAATTATTTGTTTGTCTGTTTATTCTACTCCTTCTGTTAATCATCGGTTCAATTATTGGATTATTACTAACTAGAAATTTCTTGTCGAAATCAAAAAAATCAACTAGTCAGGTATAAATTATGTGTAAACAACATAAACAACCATCACAAATCCATAAATTCCATTTTACAATCTGTTATGTAATACATCAATTAATCAATATCTTTGATTTTATTCTCTTTAATTCCACATTTTCTTTTTTTGTGTATAGTAGTAAAACAAAAAAGCTAAAAGGAAATAAAATCATAATTACAGTCTAATGCCTTAATTGGATTTTGAAAATAACTAACAACAAATAAATAGGCAATATTTTTTGTTGCCAAGTAATGAGCAACCAAGTAAGCAGCACATTTAAAACAAAAACGCACAAGAATTCCAAAAAATCTTTTTTTTTTAAAGTTTTCACAATTCTATTTTCTTTGCATTTTATCTGTCATACAGACAATTCTATATAAACAAAGTAACTGCAAAATAATAATCTTGCTATTTTTGTATACTTAACAGTGTGTCTTCAAAACAATTAAATAAATAAATAAACAGTGGTAGTTAATTTTCCTCCCTTTTTGTTTTGTTAATTTAGGATATTTTTGTGCTGTTAAATTGTGTAATTTTTTTTCCAATATCATGTCCTTACTGTTTATTCTTTTTTCCCAGACTTAAGTGTCTAAATCAGCCAATCATAGTTATGTATTTGGGTGTGTGTGTGTTTATCTAACCATATATATATATATATACGTAAGTTGTGTATTCATCTTTTCTTCTGATTGGTTTGTTCATACATTTATTTCGCAGTTTTTTATTGGTTATCGTTGTATCTGCACTTTACGTTGTCAAAAATAAGGGGAAAATAATGAATTACTAAGTGTAAACTTAGTAATAATAATTCTTTTAACTCAATTAATTTCTAATTAATTCACACGAAAAGGAGCATAATAACAAAGTTTAATGATCATTAATGGTTCCATAAAATATTCTCTACCCAGTTTATTTAATGATGAAGATTAGTTGTAAATAGATGAATCAGGATTATTTGTTATCTTCTCATCAAATTACCATAAACAACCAGTCATTTACTAATAGTTGACGTAAATTTTAATATAACTCATTTATCAAGTACCATTGGGTGTGTTCAGCTTTGATTTATGTATTGTATGTATGAGGGAGGGTAATATTATCCTAAATAGGTGTAATGTCATTCGAACTTGTGACTTCTTAGTTGTAAACTAAGTGATTCAATAACTAAGACAATATCAGCTAAGATATTTATGAGTTTCTAGTTAAAATTAACTCAACACCTATTAAATAAGAAACTTGTTATTTTTCTGGTGGAAATAGGCCATGACTGATCGGTGAGCAAAAGCAGATATATCCAGTCGCATTAAATATGAGAAACCATCTAAATCAGAAGTGTTTAGATAGAAATCTACTTATATTCCAAAAACAAAACGGCAATTTAACTAAATTTATATAGAAAGAAAAATGTTAGTATATTTATGATTTTTACACAAGATTTTAGAGTCTTCTCTATTTATGGGATCGCTCTATTACTATTATACGACGATTCAGACACATTGGCTGAGTGAGATATGACCAAAGCTTAATTTCTCAAACTATTGCAGCTAGATTTACCGGAGGATATTGTCATTAAAACTTCTCGTAGACACACTGCTGAGACCGACTACAAGACCAGTGCTTGTGACTAGGAAGGCCGTTCTTCCAACTCTTATTAGCTGAAAATCTGGTTACGATCACGACTGCTGTCATCCCCCACGGATATCATTTCAGAACCACTCACAGTGTTGCTCGGCATGTCTCCTTACCAAACTCAACTCCCTAGAGATTGGAAGGATGGTATTGTTAACTTTATATTTAAGCATGGAAAGAGACAAATTGTGCCTAATTACATACCTGTTAGTCTAACTAGCATAGTAATTATTTGAGAACGCAATTCAGGATAAGTTATTAGGTCACATAGAATCATATAATCTGTTAACTTCTAAGCAACACGGGTTCCGAGATAGACATTTATGTTTAACTTACTAACTGTAACAGAAGATTGAACAGTGGGCCTAGATAACATTTTTTCCTGTCGACGTGATATTCATAGATTTCAGAAAGCCATTTTATAAGGTGTCTTACTAAAGCTTTGTGCGGAAGCTCTCCAGCTTTGGAATACCAGGTAAAATACAAGAGTAAGTAAGAAAGTCCCACTGACCGAGGACATAGAGTGAAGGTAAATAGTACACTATTTGGATAAAAACTAGTTAAAAGTGGTATCTCCCAAGGCATTATCTTAGACTGCCTATTTTTTCTTCTCTACGTCAATAAAATTACCATGACTAAAGTCGTCGACAATTACATGGAGGTAATGTCAAAGTCAGGAGGAAAATAAGTAGTGTTGATCATCTTAATCTCCCAGCTAATCCAGACGAATTAGTTGGACTTGGGAAATTAATCCTAGAGAATATGCTAATGTACATTGATCATGGTAATAGTTACCAGTACGTCGTCAACGATACATAGCTTCCATGAATGTGAGACCTTACCTAAAGTATTGCATCCAAACAGCTAGTTCATGTCTTACTTAGGATGTTATTATACTCGAGCATCATCAATGTGTAGGAAATAAGTTAGCGACGGGTCTAACCAAACTCTTCTACAATGGGAGCTGAAACCTTTTCTCCTTATCTTATTGTGGGACGCGAGGTGACCTGATATTGGCATTCTGTATCTTGAATGATGATTTGTGTGTTAACGTATCTTGTCATTTAGCTCCACCCAGAATTAATCATCTGAGAGGCCATCACAATAAGGTTCAGAAACTGAGATCAAATAAACTCAGAGTAGGATTCCATTTTTCTCATCGAGTGGTCAATGACTGGAATGCCCTAACCGAACAAGAATTATCAGCCTCATCAGTGAACACATTCAAGAAAAAGCTGGATCACCTTAGAAAACAAGCTGGAAAGATTAGCACAGGTTGATCGAACCGTTGATCAATCAATTTCTGTCTAACTTAAGCTGATAATAAAGTAACCAATTTGGGCAATTTACCACATGAAAAAAGTAATATATTTGTTACATACAGTTATACAAAAATATCGAAAAACAGATATTCGGAAATATTATTTTAATTTTTACATTGAAATTAAGACGACCAGTAGTTTATATACATAAAAAATTAAATCTGTAGTAATATATATTTCATGTATGCTACTTAGGCTGACAGATATAAGTAGTATGTATTAGTAATCGAAAGTGGAATGCCTGGCAGCAGGAGATTGAATTGAAGAGAATAGAATATATATATTTATATATATATATATATATATATATATATATATATATAAAGGTAACGCAATTTAATTATGCATAAGTAATTCCATAGGAAACCAGACAATTATTAGAAAACTAATAACTAGATGGCAAAAACCAATATCCCATAGGTATCCTATGTAAAAATATAGTTCCACAACTTAAAAAGAAAAATGAAAATGCTAGAAAGAAAAGCACTCTTTCTGCAAAACGACGCCGACGAGCCAAAGATGTTAAATGTTTTGACTGATTCATATGTCCAGCCATTTCTTTCAGTTCAGAATAATTAGATATTAATTTATTTGATGAATTTTCAAGTAATTCAGCATTAACAGCCCCACGTTGAACTTCTTCAGCTAAAAGTCTAGCATATCTTGTCATATCTTGAGTAAGTTCCAATGAGTTTTGATATTGTTCTTCTAGACTGGAAATCTTGTTACCAATTTCAGTTCTTGAAGAACGACTAGTAAGTTCAGCTTTTTCAAAAGTTTCTAAAGCTGAATTGGCTGCGAAGATCGCTTTACGATATCGATCCTGATAAATATCCAAAGTATAAAATTGAGACTATAAATATTATAACTAGAAGACATATTTATACAAACAATTAATTACATCAAACGTAAATCTGAGTTAAAATTTAAATTTAATTCACTAGTTCATAAGAAATTCAACACAAATATAATAAAAAGTGATCGTTTTTGAAAATGAAAATTGTTGTCTCCCGTGGAAATTTATGAATGGTAACTTTGAGGACTATTTATGGACCAAAGTGATATGTATATTTCCTATTGTATAATTGTTATGTAAATTAACTATTCATATTTATGTTCCTCCCATTATAAGCTTTATTTTGACCTATGAACTATTATTATACAATTTACCATTCTTGCGTTATCCCCAGTCTATCAATTACTGTTCCCCCTATTTACAGCCACTTTTGGCTAAATCTTGTACAAATATTATTTTCTATATTATGGTACGATGTGGTCTATTTGGTTGGTATATAAACCCAGTATGTTTGTAAATAATGATCCATATTGCAGAGACTGTTATTGGTGTTCTGAACTTAACTGTCTGGGCTAGGCAGAAAGCAGGACTGATAAGTACTCAAGACTGCTCACACAGTTTTGTGTATCATTGAGCGATCAATAAATTCACTGTTCCCTAATTGGCGGTCTTATAACGTTCATATATATCAAACGTGGCACATACGCACTCACGCGATATGACAACTGGCGACGGTGATGGGATCAAGTAATGAGTATCATTGAGAAGGGATTAAATTTAGAAAATAAAAACATAAGCTTGTGTGAGTTTACTGTAAGACAAAAGAATGGAGATATATGCTATCCTGTTTTACATAAGAAAATACTTCGAAAATAGGTCTTGAAACAAAAGATGTTGTAGTCATGAGATGTTAGGTCAGTGTATGACATGGTGTCGTGGCATGAAAGAAAGCTGCAAAGGGCTAGCTTCTGTTGGTCCTTCACGACTCCCTGGCTGGGGTCCGAGAGATGGTGCAACACAGTGGCTAGAGACGTTATCGGGTATGGCTCAGAATAGAAGCCAGTGGCGATCCTGCTGCAGCCTTCTTTTACTTTCTACATAAAGAGTGGTTCTAACTTTCTTAACTGAAAGAGTCTTCTGGTTGTACATTTCAGTCAGCCTTATCTTTTCATCCCTTCTCTTCCTACTTTCATTATTTTTCTTTTCAATTAGTTTTTCATCATGGCTCTACACTAATATATATATGATTTACAATAATTAAATAACACTCATGGAGTAGATACGTTACGTAATGATTATATAATGACATCGATTATAAACTAACATTAATTGGAAGAGAAGGATTAATACTAATCGAAGTTATTATTCGAAAATCAAGCGTTTGCTACGTTGCATAATATATAAAAAAGAGAAGTAGGAACTAAAAAATTTTGATGAATGGTCAGTAATATAGTATAGCGGTATAGCGGAGTTTGGAGCATAATTTCGGTAAACAATTATCTTATTCCTTCCATTTTTTGTATTTTACTTATTCTCTTCATTCGTCTCTTGATTCTTACATAATTACTATATTACTGACCATTCATCAAAATTTTTTAGTTCCTACTTCTCTTTTTTATATATTATGCAACGTAGCAACAGCTTAATTTTCGAATAACTACTTTGATTAGTATCAATCCTTCTCTTCCAATTAATGTTAGTTTATAATCGATGTCATTATATAATCATTACGTAACGTATCTACTCCATGAGTGTTATTTAATTATTGTAAATCATATATATATTAGTGTAGAGCCATGATGAAAAACTAATTGAAAAGAAATTTCTTCGCTCGATTCGTTCCTTTTTTTTATTAACAAATGTCAAAATGGGAATTTTCATTTCATTATTTTGTGTGGCACATATGTATCTGGTGCCCTTTTGTACCAATATATATGTGTTTAAATAAATAAAATAATAAATATGAGATGTTAAATCTTATGATCATCAACTAAGACATGATCACAACATCGACTTGAATATCGATGATAGTTCTCGGTTAAGTGAATAAAACTTCTCTTTGAAAAAGTCTCCTGGGCAATTTCTTGAGCAATTCATGTAATTAAAAAACTTTGTTACCAAAATCTGTCTCAAATTAGTAACAAAATGACTACCTCTTTGTGTTATAATGAACAGAGAATTGACTAATATATAAAATACTCGAACCACCGAATGATTAGTAACCTGTATATATATTTTACATACCAATCTATCACTTTTTTAAATTGGAATAGTGTTTACTTATCTAGTAAATTTTTACATGTATATTAATTTATTAAATAAAACGGAATCATTTTCCGACAAATTGTGCTGAGGTTTCTATTTCAATATTGTCGTTGTGTACAATCGTATTTCAATAACGATTTAAACCCGACCCTCTACAGAACAGCCACAAATACAACATATTTTGTTTTGACCGTTAGTCAAGCGTAAAATATGGATAGAAAGAGCTAGTCAACTGAAATACTTCAATACCTAGAACGACCTGATAGTGTGCCCCAACAGTAATTTACAACACATGTTTTGTAATTGATACATACAGTGACTGGTCATAAATTCTTTTGACAGTCAACCTAACTGCAGTTATCCCAGTAAGAAAACTACGACAACCATTCAAGCGTCATGCATTTCCAGAAACAAGAGTTAGTGATAGCGAAAAGTAGTTGAGGTTCTCTGTACGACGAATTTTGTCGACGGAACGGTTTTAATCATATTCTATTGTCACTGCTCCAGCCTTAATCGAACGGTCGAGTCCAGCGTTTTGTTGGTACATTCAAAGACTGTCTGAAAACATCTAATGGGCCGAGGACCATTGAGATCCTAGACGGGTTCCTGTTCTCTATTACACAACACCGAACCTTCAATCACCTAATGACATCTTTCTGATAGAAACTTTACTTGGTAGAGAATTGTGTACATCTTTCGATTTTATTAGTTCGATGCCATCGTATGAACGTCAACGAAGCATCTATAGAGAAGCGATTCAACCAACATAATGAAGCATAAAAATGATTGTTTACTGTCAGAAAGTATTGGCTACGGATTACCGTGACAAATGCCTTACATGAATGGCCAATCGAATCTTGAAAAGAATAGGTAACGTTATCTAGGACGTGTTAGTTGGTCTACTAAAATGAGTATTACACGCTAATCAGTTGAAAGCAACTTCTATCTTTATTAGCGAGAAGCATCATAAAATACTGGTTGGTATTCTGTTTGTCATCTTCGACACTTAATTACCAGTATTATTTAAGCCCACTCTAGGGCACAAAAACAATACAATGTCTTTACTGATAAGAATCTGGACAGATATGAAGAGCAGACAGGTCAGTCTGATACAAGTGGATTGCAACAACGTACCTGATACGATACTCAAAGATTAGGTTTTACGGTCAGGTCATAATTGACTGGAGAATGAGTGACTAACAACTTAATTTCTTGCAATCGCCTATGATATTTTATCAAGCTTATTTTGTGTTCATACTTTCTATTTAAGCATGTCATTTTATTACATTAAAAAGCTTAATTATCTGGCTATTAGTAATCTTGTCTTTGTTTTCTACTCATTCGGCGGCTTAAGCCAAGAACACGGTATTATAAGTAGCCATCACTCGGTCATACTATATCATTGTGTTCATGTATCAATTAGCATTTTATGCATTGATTTCGACAATCAAAAATTTCATCCAATTACATCATAACGGAAGACCTCCCCCACAACAGCATCCTACAAATCTGCTCAAAGATAGAGATGTTAGCAGGATATTATCCTGACAATAGCATGCTCTGATCAGAATCAAATCCGAACACGTTAACTGGTCCACATTTAATCGATCAGCATTAGTGGACGGATCGAGATGCTGGATTTTTATGTAAATTCTATGAAAGCTCGAGTGTTTTTTACTATCGTATTTTGTTGTTTGATTTATTGAGATATACACTATTCGATCTCAATTTCTGTTCTGATTTGGAAAGAGTCGAGTGAAACATAGTATTCAGTAAATACAAGGCAGTAAAAGAAAATAACAATACTCGATGAAATCCATTCTATCAGTCCGTCAGTCTTACGCGACGTAGAACCCAGTACATATGTCAGTCAGTTACAACGTAGAACTTCGTACGTACGTACATCAGTTCGAGTTGCCATACCACATTAGCACAGAGATGAAGTTGTCGATTCAAATCCCATAATGGTAGAAGTAGTAAGAGTATAAGCAGTAATCGGAAAGATTAGGGTTTGAAGATGTTATTGAAGGATTATAATACAATGAAATAAATTTGGAAAGAGAAAAAGGATACAGACATGAAGAATTCAGATTAGAATTTGGTAGAACACAAAGAGTGGATGCACCTTCGCCATTGCAAACGATTTTGAGCCATGTCATTCAAGGTCTCTAACCATCGGTTGCTATCATCTCGCGAATCCCAACCAGGTAGTCTACACCTACCAACATGGCCCAGTCCACTTGTCAGTGACTTCATGGATTTATGCCATGTTTTGGTCTGGCCACCCCTAGCTTTCTTCCAACCTGCTCCTACACCATAAAACATTGCACGTCTACATATGTGCACCGATTCAAGTCACCGTACCTCATCAGCAAACGGATTTTTGAGTAGTATAAGTAGTAACTGTTAGTGGTAATTGAAAAGATTAGGCATAAAAGTTATGATTGAAAAAGATATGGATTCATGGGTCAAAAAACTTAAGAAACTGTGGTATTTGTACTAACTTATGATTCCTTTGTACTTGATTGCGCGCTGATTAAGAACTCCAAACATAATACGTTCATTTGTGCTCGTCTAGTTTTACCTACCTCAACACTATTTTGAAAATTCTTATTACATTAATTCGAATACTTCTAATTATCATAGAAACTTATAATCTAAAGGGAGACATAATCAATGCACCTGTATCATTGAGAGTGTTTCCGCACCTATTAGCCCGGTTCAGTTCAACAGTCATTGACTTCATAGAATGAAGGCGTGTTTTGATTTGGCTATCTCTAGCTTTTTCCAACCCGCCACATCACGTATCATGTAAATAATGATTCAGAATCACAGATACCAAACACTTTATTTGATTACATATACCAAACATTAACTAAGCATTGACTGCTCTATTTATCCCGAAGGTTGCATCAGGATTCCAATTCCGCTGTCTAGTCTACCCATAGATTTATTTAATAAAGTGATATATAGAAAACGGAAAACGATATTGCAGTGCTGAGTTGTGAAATTAGTTTAACTGCGGCACATTGCTGTTATAAATGAATATATTACACCAACATTATTACATATCAGCATTATAATATAAAAATAGTAAACCTCAATTAGTTAAAGAGATATAGAACAAGATGACTAATGTGAAAAGTACATTACCTGCAGTGCAAAGAGTTGTTTTTTATTCTGAACAATTGCTTCATACAATGTCCTGTTTGTAGATGAAATGTTTGTTTCACGTCCGAACGTTTGCAATTCATCCAAAATCGAATTAATAGTTACAAGATTCTCTCTAACTTTAGTTTGATAACAATCTAGTTTTTCTCGACACGATTTCGTATTATTGATTCCTTTACTGATACTTTCAATTTGAACAATCAGTTCTTTTGTTTTTGCATCTAATGATACAATGGTCTCTAGCTTGTGGTTAACTGACAAACGTGACATCTAAAAGAATTTAAAATAGAACTCATTACCGTAGCAACCACCTTACAAAAAAGATTTGTTAGAACTGGAATCGAATAGACATACGCAGACGCAATTAATTCGCCAGTACAAAGTAATGTGTAACAGTTACGGGTGTAACTCGATAATGGAGAAATTCACTAATCATATAAACCATTATTTAATAACAAATAAATATTGAATAAATTATTATGAAAATCTTTATTTTTAAATTCGTTCACTAGACACTTGAGTATGATTCAAACTCAAGGTGTGAAGGTTAATGATAGTATCCGGTAGCTCAAATGAAAGCGGGCTGAGTGGGGTTTGAACCAAAGGCTTAGCAGATGGGAGTCGTATCCATTAACCACTAGGACACGGCTCCAAAATAAATTACTAACAACAGTGTCAAAGGAAACCGTTATTAGGTGAAAAATAGATGTGGAACATGGTTGCCAAAAGTGAAAAAAATTCAAGCCTGACCTAATACATAGGAATTAGATGGAAAGACCATTGAGTTAGGTGTGTAATATTCAAAAGATATGGCAGTTACTGCTGTTTCGATCACTATAACCGACGTTATATATCAAAGAAAAACAAAAATTTCAATAACGCAATGAGAAGATGGACTTAATCTGAAAAATATGATGTATTTGCGCCATACATTTCGAACAATCTGGTCACGCATATACTTGCCAAGGCATTTTATATGAAAATAAAAGTCAATTAAATGAAGGTTCAAGTAAATAAAGGAGAGAGAAAATTAGCATCGTATAGAAAGAATAGGAAATTGTCACAATACCTTAGGTCATAAAATGGCTTAAGGATTACCAGGGTAAATTCAAAGTTATGACAACGTGTTGTTGTAGACATAAGAGTGGGGAGTTAAATTTACGAATAGGTTTCTATAAACCTGAGAATTTGTCCTTGAAATTTTCTATACAATGTTTTAAAAACTGTATTGATGTTAATTCTGTGTTTTGCTATCGATGAACATAGGTTTCTACTTCCTACGTTGATCGAATCGCTTGAAATTAACCGGTTTTGAAGCCATCTAGGCACATGTCCCATAACTATTGATTGTATTATTCGACAACTCCTCCCTATGTATGTGTATCCGCACAAGCATGTAAATTTGTAAATGCGATGGGATTTGACGTAGTCGCTCGTGCATTCTCTGCATCTATTTCAAATCATGAACTTAGTCTCTTCAATCGCAACCAGTTTAGCAGCGTGATGGATTTACAATTTCTGAAAACCATACTGTTGGATTGACCTATATATGGTGGATAGATATAAACTGTTTTCTTCTGAATAAAATGAATGAGAGGTTTTAGTGTTCACTTACTTTTGCACCTATTCATAAACTTTAGTGGATAATCATTTCATATCAACGTGTCAGTCAGCAGCGCATATGCATCTGGTGCCCTTCTGTACCAATATGTATGTGTTTAAATAAATAAATAAATCCTTTTCAGTTAGCAGCTTTTCATCTTCAGCAGTATCCGTCGTGCATATTCTTTGAATCCCACTAAGGAGGCATTTAACCAAGCCTCGCTTCTATTGCAATGGATAGAAACTATGGAAATTTAAAATATTGCCTCATCTAAGTTGGTTTCCTATAAACTGACCGTCCCATAGAACTATCCTCTCTTCGACTCAAAAGTATGTCTAAAAAGATTTATTGGTCATTATCTTCTGTTTCATATATCATTACAATATCGTTCTGAAACCAACTGAGTTTATCTAATAAGTGGGAAACCTCAAAATCTTTATGACGTATAACTAGTATATCATCCATGTATCTTCTATACAAAGTTGCTTCGCTGATGAGCTTGCTCATCATATTTTCAATATATGACATAAATACATCAGCCAAGGAAGGCCCTAAAGAGTTATCCATAGCAACGCCATCAACTTGTCGAAAATATTCACCTTCAAACGTGAACTGTACATTTGCAGCACATAACAAAAGTAGTTCTTTCAACAGTGTTGACCGACTAGGAAAAAGGGGAAATTATTAGATATATGGTAACAAAGGAAGACAACAGTCTTAGTTAACGGTACGTTCATAAAAAAGAGTTTACATCAAAAGAATGCAAAGTCTTATCTTTAATGTCGATTTCCTCAAAAAGATTAATTAGTTCAAATGTATCTTTATTGATAACAACAACCCCAGAACCTTTATCAGGTTGGAGGATCACAATATCTGACCTACTTTGGAGGTTTTGTAAGGTAGCAAAATGTTTAGCAGTCAAGATATTGTTGTATTTGATTTGAGAGCCGTGAACGTGGTGGCCAATATCAACCAATTTCACCTTTAACCAATGTTGTTCATATAAAGCGGTTGGGACCAGAGGGTTGAATTGATCATAGATATTTTCAAATTGAGCATCTATCGATAAATCAGAGGTTTTGGCATGTGCAACGGATAAATTAAATGCGAGAGATAAGGCTTCTTTTGCAAATACAGAAAGTTTAACAGGTGGTAAATTTGTTACATACTTATCCGGGATAAATTGAAATTAATTTCCATCATTATCATTAATAAGAGATTTATTCTGCTTTTGTTTAGTAGTATCGTGTTTTGGCAGTTCAGTAGTAGCTAAAACAAACGACTAATTGCTTTAAATAAACAGAAATTTTGCAAGAAAACTAATCCCAAATTAAGCATTGTAATAAGCTAAACCTGTAAACAATCAAGTTTTAATTTGTTTCTATTCGCTAACAATAACCCTGTGTATCTCATCAAACAATATCGTCTTTTATAAGAAGCTAATTTTTAGATAATACATTGCTAGTGCGTAAGCAGTATGCTTAAATCAACTTCAACTGCATTAGATTGAATAGTTGGATGACTATGAGACATAAACACGTTTTAAATATGAGGCGCATTGACTTACAAAAATCATTATAATTATCAGTAAAGTGTAGCATTTGATTATTAATATGAATCGAGTACAAGGGAGAACATTTGTGCAATAAGTATATTTACAGCATATATGTTAAAAGTATTATGAGGTTGTTATATTGGCCGCAGAAAGAGTGCGTTTTCCGAGTGGATATCCGAGCACTATAATCACTATTAAATAGTGAATCCAAATCGGTCAACAACTCGGTTGTTAAACATCGAGTCAGTTCTAATTAGTTACCTCCAAAATAATCCCCATTCAAAATTCTTCACAAAATAGGGCGAACTACGTCAAAGGGAGGCCGGAAAAGAAAATCCTTCATAGCGAAGGACTTGGCGATTCATCACTTATCACTAGCACCTAAGAACTAAGAGCAAAAGATAGGTGGTTTCTCGTATTTGTAGAACAACTGCAAATTTCAGTTGATTTTAACTGAATTTCATTGATTCTAACTCGTAAATTATTCAAATATATGCCTTGCGCATTTTTTTTCTGTAACATGAACAGATTTCACCTCCAAAATACAATATATTTTATGAACGATCGTCATTTTTACTTAGTTGGACACGATTTTTCCGATAGAACGTAGCGAACCCATTGCTTTTAAATCTACTTCGGAATGAATCAAAACTAATTCCAACTGATTTTATGAAAAGAACCCCGTAAGTACTTCCCTAACGAGATCTATCAGAACGTTACACCTAGTGCAGATGGTAATATATTAGTTACAACAGTGTAGTATTATAAATAATTAATAAATGCATTGTACAGTTGTATAATAACGTTCTCGTTTGTAGATATGTTCAAGAAAGTACAAAACTCTTTAAAATTCAGAAAAATTGCTTATGAATACTCGTTAGAAGGTAGAAAGCAATAATTACCTAGTATATTTTCAATGGCCAATGCATTCAAGATTAAGTTCATTTCACATGGCAGTATGGTATGATCTACTCAGTAAGATTAAACGGGTAGTGATAAAATTTCCTTTATGACGAATATCCGTCTTCTATTCCGGAAAATACGATTGTTCTACTCAATTGACTTTATCATAGTCATGTTTATAGTAAGTTGTCAAGGTCTGATATTCTTAGAGATTTTTTAGCTCCAGTAAGAAAATGAGAACGAGTACATAGTTATCGAAAGCTGTGGCTACATATGTGATATCCTTAGAATAACCTACGTCTCAAATTCTGTATGAGAACAACTTCGTAGACACCTAGAACATACAATCTCTGGTCTTGACAGTACTTATCATTTTCGATATTTCAGCAAAGCCCGACCCACACGTGAAAGTGCGAGGACCATGACTACTGGGGACAAAGTTGAAATCATGAGTTGATATTTCAGAAATAACTGATATTAAAGACTATCTAACGCATATAAACAACAAGGTCTAAAACCTCATCCAACATTCAGTCAACAACAACAGTCAATCCATTGAAAAATACTCTGCATGTCTGGTTGAAACCTTTCGACCCTATAAAGGGATTCGGACGTTAAATCGTTTAGAGGGGATGTGTTGAGTTTATTTGCACGCAATAGGTATCATGTAACTCTCTCCAGTCGCTGATTGTCAATCCCGAAGTGACAGATGGAGTTAAACAATTAGTAAATGGTAGACAAATTGCTATTGTCGGATAACGAACGAAAATACAGAATCAGCAGCTTACGATGTGAAAGTATTTTAAAAAGCAGGAATACTTAATGGGTGTGGCTGACCTTAATTTGCAGAGGCTATTGTTTACTACATTCGCGTTAAGATTGTGCAGATAGGAAACGTGGATCTTACATCAAAGATGTATTGTGTTCTGATTTTGTAACATGATGGACAACTTTGAAAATAATTAATGGGAGAATGTTTAAGTGCTCTAGAATAAAAAATTTAAAATTGTACGATTTCTCCGAAGATCCGATATCGTTTCATTGCAAACTTTTGTGTTAAATAAATGTTTTTTGAAATCTTGAGAATAAAATGAAGGCATAAAACAAACATAATACTAGCTAAGCATAGGTTATTATTTTTGTAGACACATGATTGGTAAATGACCAGGAGGACTTATTGTGATCCAAATGGGTATAATGGAAGAAGTTAACCTCCGGCCAGACACATTAAATGTTGAAAGAATAAGCAAGGATAGAACGATACGCAGCGCCATAAGAAAGGTGGAGTTAAATATTGAGCAGATCAACGTATTTTAAGCTGTTACACACTATTCGACTACAACTTGAACATTATTGGACTAAATATGTTGTCGGCTGTGTATTCTAGTTGTTTTAGCATAATTAGCCCATTTTTCATGTACGTTTTGGAGACAAATGTGTTATTCGAATTCGGGAAAATAACTCGAGTTATTCCCCGATCGTGGAAGAAAATTTAGGGAAACATATTACCCAGCCTGCCTGTTTTCCCGAGAAAGGTAAGAAATAGAACGAAACTGCTGCGTTTTCATCTCAACTTGCACCAAATTTCTCTACACAAATTCTCATAAACTTCTAAAAAGTTCACTCTTATTTCCACCAGGTTGGTTTATTGGGAGATTTAGTCTGAATAAGTGAAGTTATGGCTTCATGTGTATATATAGTTGTGGGCAATCACACTTTCTTTGCTGAGTAGAATCTGAAAGTCATACCGTACTTACCAAATAAAGAACCACAATCCGCTAAAACCGAAGACCCAACACCACTCTTTATTGTAAGTGGCTGTGTACTTGAAGGTCACCTATGAAGGCCACTTACACGCTGTTTCGATCTATAAGATCAGCAGATTTGATCACTTGATCACTTTGAGGACAATTATACTGAGGGCATAAGAAAGAAGAAGTGCTTCATAAGTCACCTCAATGCGTTCCCATGGCTTTTATGTAATAATTTGGTTTTTGTTTAAATCGTTGGGTGTTTATTGCATTAAAAGCATAGTTGGTCTATTTTAACTTGAGTTATCACGGCTAAAGGTTCAAAATTTTCCTTTTTAGGAACTCTTTTTTTTAGTTGGTTCTCATACTAGTGATTGTCTTGTGTGTTTTCGTCAATGTTTTCTCTCTAAATCAGTTTAAAATGATCCGCTCCACCTATGAGTGTGGATAGCCAAATTGTTTCTTCCCTGACGGGGAAAGAATGTTATGTAATGTGTGTTGTAGATCACTAGCGTAGATGATCTACGTCGAATGACTGGGAGCCCGCTCGAGTTAAACAGGAGTGGTGTGACTAACCAGATAACATCGAAGTCACACCTCGCGGTAAGTACCTAACTTGGATTATGTTTTCGTCGTATACGGGCACTATGGCTACTTCGATGATCGTGCAACACAAATGAAGTTATTACAGAGCAAGTGTAAGAGACAGAATAAGATCACTGCTGTATGGGCCAATCCATGGCGTGCAATTAGCTGATGACCGTTGGTTGTAGATGACCTTGACGCGGATCGTTGAACTGTTTGATATTCACTGACCCGACTGCCGGATGACTTGGCTACGGACAAGTGACATTTTACTGATCATACAGTATAAAAAGTTATACTACTAGGTGTGTGCCCATTTAAATCCCACCGCTTACAAAAGATGCTCGCAACATAGCTACCATTGACTTTGCATGTTTTTATGCTTGAGCATTGCATTGCTGATAAAGGAGGCGACAGACCTTCTGACGTTGGCCAAGAAGAAAGTTGATGGCGTCTAAACTGGTTACATGAGTACTGGCTGCGAAGAATGCGCCAATATGTTACGTGCTGTTCATGAAGTGCTAAACACCCTACTGAGAAACATGAGAAGGTAAAATCTCCCTTCTAACAAACAAGGAGTGAAGTACCATTAGATGGGGTTGGTCGCGATTCTAAAGTAGTATACGAAGACCTAAGCAGAAACGTCACTGTTCATGGCAGTCCCAATGTGACTGTCCTGATTGACTGGAAGTGGGAGACAGTGCTGAGACAGAGGAAGAAGAAGAAGAAGGATACTACCAGCACCAGTTTAGTTGATAAGCTTTTTACAGAACTTGGAATTCACCGCCAGGGCAAGGCTCTACTTGACCCTAGTGTGGCTAGAAAAAGCTTGATGTCATATAATATTATTGTGAGTAGTTTGGTAGGACCAAATGACCCTGAAAATTAGACACGCGCATGCTTTGGAAAAAGAGCATTTATTCGTAGCATCTTGCTAGATAAATCTTTAAGTATCAGATCAAAAAATTGATAAGGATGAATAAAGGGACTGACAAAAACAATGGACTTTAAACATATAGACTCCTTAAGGAAATCCTAGGGTCGGAGGTCCAGTGAAATATTTTGTCAACTAGTGCTCAAAGTCACAATAACACCAACATCCCATTAAGACCTGATATGTTTGTAAAGGATAGAATAAAAAGTAAGGCAACACTTGCAGAAGTAGAAATGCATCGACAGGGTGGCGAGAAAAATATCTGCTTAATAATTTCTCGAGCAGTTAGATCTTGGAAGAGAATGCTAACACGGTCTATACGAGTAGGTCATTCGCTTTGAGAGTCTTATACGCAATACTCGTAGTTTACGAAATACATTTCGTGAACTATGAGTATTGATGGAGCAGCCAAAGTTACTCATCGTAGCTGCAACCGGAACATGGTTAGTCCATGACTTTGACATCACTCTAGAATTATATGGATACGTCAACCCAAGAGGTGATAATAATCGATGTAACAAAGGGGTGAAGTCTCTACATAGTTAATAATGTTGACATTCATCCCTCTGTTCGTGAGTCTCGTGATAGTGAAGCTTGTTACGTCATGGGCTGTTAACTAACTCGAAGGTTGTAAATTTATTCCTGGTATCATCTACTGTAACCAAATCTGCTTAGCTGATAACTTTATTTTAGGGGCCTATTAGTTTTGGAGTTAAAAAACCAAATGCCTGATGGAACATTTTAATAAACTTGATGCTAGGTGAACAGAAGTAACCACCGTAGAATCTGAAAACACTTTCCAACATAGGCTCCTGATAACGGTAATGGAACATTAAGTACAGAAAGGATCCGTATTCATACATTTTAATTCAAACCAAGTATATACTTTGTAGGACTCAGTAACCACTCATTCAAACGATGATAGTGACTACACAAATATTCTTCCAGAGTTAGCATATCCTTACCAGGATGTTTTTGCATTCGTGTTAAGAGCTTGCGACATAACATACTATCGGAATAAACCTCGCCTGAATTCGTGCTCTGAAATAACTCTCTAGCCGGTAAATATTAACTCATTAATTGAAAAAGCATGTTTAAGGAAACACTCGATTCAATTACTTTCCCGTTCATGTCATGGATAGTACCATATCGAACAAATAAATGTCCATCACGGATAAATTGGGCCAAAGCTTTATTAGAATATTTTGGTAAAGTGTTTTCTACCAATAATGATGAAAGACTAACAATACATGGTGATAATTGCAGATTATCAATGGATCTTGTGATTATTAAGAACGGAATTGCTTTATGACTTATTTAACATCCCAAATCATATAAGTCCAGGGGTCCTGATGATATTCATTCTAGAGTTATGAAAGACCTGGCGGGTGTAAATGCTGAAATTCTGTCGACGAAGTATAATAAGTTTTTGAGCCATGATAAACTGCCAAGAAACTGAAAAGACGAAATTATCAATCCAGTCTACAAATAAGGAAGTAGAGACTTGATGAGTAACTATCGACCCGTAAGTCTGGCCAGTGTAGTTATCTAATTAATGGGAAAGATCATTCGATTGGATTTTCCAAACAATGTGTAAGGAAATAATCTTTTAATCGCGGAACAATATGATTTTAGGAAAGGCTCATCTCATATCCTGATTCTAGGGGATATCAATCTTCCTAAAGTCAACTTCGCGGAACATACCTATATTGGAGGTGAAAAGTCTACTGAAGCTCGGTTCTTCAACTTCATTGAGGTTCTAGGATTATTCGAAAATGTGAAGACAGCAACTCGTTGGAGAAACAGTCAGACGCCGTCGCATTTAGCCTGTGTATTCACAATTGAAGAATTCCTAGTCGAATACCTCTCAATTCTGGCTCCCCCGGAGAAAAGCGATCACACCATTATATCCTTCAGTATTGTCAGCAAAACTGAGTTAAAATATCCCACCAAAAACAGACTCTGGAATTTCAAACGATTGGATGTGTCGGCTTTACTGGATTATCTACAACAGGTGGATTGAGATGTTCACCTTCAACTTGAAGTAGATGCTCATCGGGATTTCTTACTGCAAACCCCCATTATGTGCTACTAAGCATTCAGTTCCTCAAACCATCCCCAAAGGCTACAAACAACCTACAGCCATCAAGAACAGCATTCTTAGTCTGCTAAGCCGCAAAAGGCACTGTTGGGCTGAATGCAAACGAACTGATAATAACGGCGCATACAGGCTATACAAACATATAAAGAACATATGCACAAAGGCAATAGGAGAAGACAGGATTCAGTACCATATCAAGCTTACTGATAAATTTTTCTCAAATCGGAAAAGCTTATTCCGTTACACAGCTTCCCTTCGACAAGGCAAAACTAAGGTTTCTCAACTGCTAAGTCCTAATGGTCCGACCAATATCGACGGTGATGTCACTAATCTTTTGGCTGAACAATAATCTCTGATATTTTAACCGACCCACATCAACTACATTCATGAAAGCTTCATCTGCAACTGCACAGGACTTTACAGAGTGAACATGAGCGCTGAACTGGTGCTCCGTAAACTGCAGCACATAGGAAAAGACATTTCTCCCGGTTCGGATATGGTTCATGCTGCTATACTGTGGGTAGCAGCTTAAATCCTGACAACACCAATTAGTGTGATGTTTTCACACTCCCTAAGCAGAGGCAAACTGCCGGAAATTTGGAAGCTGGCTCACATCACACCAAGTTTCGAAGGAGGTCGACGCAGTGAACCATCAAACTACCGACCAGTGGCTCTTCTCTCCATACCTTCAAAAATTATGGAATCTCTAATTTACGACGGTATACACGAATACTTATTATCCCTAAAGTTCTTCTCACCCCAACAGCATAGTTTCAGAAAGGGCCATCCTTGTATGACCAACCTGCTGACTGCGGTGGATAGATGGAAAACCATCCCTGGTCGCAGGGGAAAGACTGACGTCATTTACTTCGATTTCTCAAGAGCTTTTGATAGGGTCAATCATATATGTCTTATCAATAAGCTTAGACGATTGGATATCCAAACCCCTTTGATTGACTGAATCACTTCATATCTAGATAACCGACATTTTAAGGTCAGAGTTAACTTCACTCTCTCTCAGGCTATGGGATGTCCTAGTGGGGCCCCCCAGGGCTCAATACTAGGACCTCTTCTCTTCTTCATTTATATTAACGATCTTCCTCAACAAGTTTCAACTGACTTATTGCTTTTTGCTGATGATGTGAAACTTTGGATAGAGATACGTAACCAGAAGGATATACAAGCACTTCAGGAGGATCTGACTCGACATCAAAGTTGAGCAGACCACAACGGATTTACCTTTAATACTTCAAAGTGTAAAGTAGTCAATCTGCGACATGTTGAAGACTGTAGTTACAGCTTAGGAAACTCCTCTTTAGAAGCATCTCAAGTCGAAAAAGATATAGGTGTGTTGGCATCCTACGACTTAAAGTCTAACGCTAACTGTGAAAAAAACGCGAATCTTGCAC